GATAATTATCGATCTTAAGGAATCGTTAACTAATAATATATAGAAGCTTGTGTTACGTATAGTATATTTCAAATATGAAGTCTACACACCTTCAGTCTATCGCTGCGATCATCGATCACAAGACAGACAGACATAACTGTGTCCACTCAGCCCTTATCAAACTATATGTATATATATATACTTCTGTCTGTTACCTACACTGGCACAAAACAATTATACCATCTGTTGACACATTTGCAAATGGGCTCAACCTATGAACATAATAAGAAATAATAAGTGTTTGCTTTATAATGTGTGTTAAGATTATTTGGAAAGATTTTTTGAAGGTTAGGTGTTATTTAGCTTTCAGGTGCTTGCGACAGACAGTTGTTTCAACTAAGTTGCTTAATTCGTGACTATTGACATGTCTGTCAATTGTTTAAATAAAAAAAAGGAAACAAAACAAAATTTAATTTGAATTTTTTATTCTTTTTTTATTTTTTTGTTGCGTTTTCTACTCTCGATCTTCATTGGAGACAAATGTATCCCAAGTGGTAAAACAAGTTTCCCTTTTCGCATACATTTAGAACTAGTTTTCGGTATGTCTTTAAAGGTAACATAACAAACCAGGCAACAAAACTGCTAATCAATGTAGAAGACGACGACGAAGAAGAAGCAGAGGTTGACGTAGCTAAAACTCATATACTAGATAACGATATTGGGCTATACTATTTTTCCACATATGCAGATTTCGTAGAAGCTCGAAAAATTAGCATAAGATGTTTTAGTTAAAGTTTTATTATTTTTAATTTCTTATTTTATTTATATACAGATATCTATTTTGTTTTCTCATCTATGCAGCAGACACACGCTGTTTGTTGTTTTGATTTCTTAAATATATTCCAAGGCTTTGCAATTTCCGCATTAAAGAAAATATCTATCAATCCAATAAGCTGCTCTGTCAAAATCGACACACAAAATGTTAGATCTAAGCCCAAAAAAAAAAACAAAATAAACGAAGACATAAAGCTTAGTCGCAGCTGAGATACCCTTTGATTAAAGTGGACATATTGCAGTGAGAATTGTTAAATTCAAATGTCTTTTGATATCTGATCTATATCATAACTTTTAAAGCTAATCAGTTGTATATAACACTTATATGAAATACTGATCTCAAGTGGCGATCAGTCTAAATTATCTTTTAAGACATAGAAGTTTACTCAACTATGATATATGTTCAGATCCTCAAACTAAGGCTGGTAGGCTCTACTCCTACGGTATAAAATATATTGAGCAATTCACAATGGAAGCCGAGACACTATTTGAAAGCACTTATATAGCTATGATGGTTATTCTGACTACGATAAGTTCCAAAGCTCTTTTATACAATATGGCAGCTATATATAGCTATACAGTTATATACTGAATGATTAATTATCGTAATATATAAAAGTTTAGTCGAGGGTCAGATAGCTACTCATTAAAAGTTAAAATATACCTATGATAGCTGTCAAAAGTAGCGATCAGACTTTGATAGGTTGGGTTCATTTAAGTGAAGTTTAGTTATATGACAGCTATATGATATAGGAAAGTGATGTGCACATTTTTGCCATAAGTCTTGCAGTTGACAACAAGTGACATTTGTACAAATTGCCTCACATAGAGCTCAGTTCACACAGAATGCTGATCAGGTATATATTATCTGTATTACTATATATTTGTTTATATCAGATCGAGTATATATTATCTGTATTACTATATATTTGTTTATATTATATTTTCAATTCTGCACTAACTTCTTCAGAGCGTAACACAATATTAGAATACAAATGTGTTAAGTATGTCGTATACGTAATATACTGAATACACAAACCCCAACAAGTGGGTTCGTCTTTAGCCCAGTGCAAATTTATATGTACGACACAAAATGTGCATTGATAACAAATGCCTTTACCAACTACCGACCCCAGGCAAATAAACAAGTTTTTCGTAATATAAATTCCAAGTAAATTGCACAAAAAAATTAAAAACTTAAAGCAACTTAACTTGACTAACCTCTGCCTACTATAAAGGTAATATATATGTATTATTTTCTATATAGAATCTTTTCTTCATTTCATTCTGTGATGCAATTTGCATTGAAAATGAATTGAGATGACTAATCAGAGGCAGCAGCTCTCTTCTGCACTCTACTCTAGTCTTCTACTCCCTTTCTTTCTTTCTCTCTCTGTCTCTGGCTCTCTTTTCTTCTCTTCCTGTCTTTCTCTCGCTCTCACTACTTTTTGGCTGCCTTATCATTTAACTGCTTTGACGCCATTAATTAGAACTGCTTCCTTCGGTAGCGCTGATTAGAAAAGAACTTCTCGAATCTTTGTGTGACAGCAACAGAAGTGGAAAGTTACAAAAGATTACGCATTCTATATTGCTACAATAGTTATGCATTATATCTTTAATACAGCGCTTTGTCAATGCAAAATCTTCATCATAGATCAGTCAGGCCATATTATTTCATGGATCTGAGAATATCAACTGTTAAATAGAAGAGTTGCAAAATAGAGAGTTCTATTAACTATTTTTTGCTGTTATCTAATCTATAAATAGAAATTATGGCATGTATTGAGGCTTTTCTTAGACCAATATATATATATTTCTACTTGAAGAAATTGCCAGAATTATAATTGAAACCTGATTGCTTATCAACTTCAAGTATAAGAGTTACTTGAATGCGAAAAAAATCAGTATTAGAATTTTCTGTTTTTAAAGAAAAATCCTCAATTATATAAAAAAAACTGATTCCATATCAATGATAGACAAAAGGAGCTTTTTAATGTATATCTTAAGTGAGAGAAAGAGTCAGCGATGTAACAGATTCCGCCAGCTATTGACAGTCATCTATTTCTCAAGGTAAAAATTCGTCTTTCCCATTGCCAAATAAATTCTTTTATTATAAATAAAATCTGATCACGCCAGCCAGTTTATAGCCAATTTATAAGATGAGAAAAAAACAAATTTAATCAAACAAGTTTCCAGATTTCTAATCTCAATTAGTAACTGTATATATATATTTATATATAGTTCATAGGTCGTTTAGACTCACCTGCATAATGGGATAGGCGAGGCGTCCTTTGCCGAAACGTTCGATGATTGTCAACTTGCTGGCGCTGGCTATGACACCTGCTATGTTCGATGAGGAGAGAACGGGACGCAATGGCTGTACAATGGGCACAAAATCTCGATTACGTTCCGCAAAAGTGCGATCAAATGAGTTGCGGCGATCGCTTTGCGAACGTCTGTAGGACATATTGCTGCTGCTGCTGCTGCCGTTGCCGTTACCGTTGCTGTTGCTGCTGTTGTTGCTAGCTGTTGCCTTTGTTGCATATTGAGAGACGCCCATATAGGACTTGGATTTACGATATTGTTTGCCTGTATAAACGATTGCTGTGTCCAATTGCAGCGGCTGTGGCAGCTGGTGCTGCTGTTGCTGCTGCAACTCGCTGCTGCTGCTGTTGCTGCTGGCGCTGCTAATGCTACTGTAACTGCTGCTGCTGGCCTCCGAGCTGGCGCTGCTGGTGGAGGCGGATGAGGGCAGCAGGCCAGGCAGCATTGCTGGCTTCGAGCATTTGGCACAGGGCACGGTCAAGGCCGCTGTTAACAAATCCGCAGAGCTAACTTTGGTAACAAGTGCTGTGGTTGTTGCTGATGTTGTTGCTGCTGCAGCAGCTGTTATGGATGTGTTGCTGCATCTGTTGCTGCTGCTGTTGCTGTTAAACTGCAATTGTTGTTGGCTGCCACTACTGCGTGTTAGGGGCTGAAAGAATAGCTGCTGTCGCTGACGACGTGACTTTTTGCTGCTGCGCTGTTGTTGCTGCTGCTGTTGGTGATTTTGCTGCGCTTTGTTGTTGCCCGCCTTGGCACGCGCTGCTTGGTTGTTACATTTGTTTGCATTTTTGGTCTTTTCGCTGGCTTTTATTTGATTGCCGTTGCCGCTGCCATTGCTGCCGCTGCCATTGCTGTCGCTGTTGTCTTTGTTGTTGTTGTCTTTGTTATTGTTGTCGTTGTCGTTGTTGTTGCTGCTGTTGTTGCTGTTATTATTGTTGTTGTTGCTGCCGATGTTTGTTTTGTTAGTTTGAAGCACCTGTTGCTGTTGCGACTTCTCCTGTTGCTGTGTCGCTTGTTTGTCCTTTTCCGCCTTCGCCTGTTTGCTTTGGGCTTTGTTTACCATTTTCACAACGGTAACGTTGTCGTTGCACTTAAAACTTTTCCACCCGTTTTTGTTGATTTTATTTTCTTGTTATTTTTTACTTTTATTAATATATATTTTTTATTTTCTTTTATTTTTATGTTGGTTTTATTTTTTTTTTATTGGGTTTGCGCTGCTACTAAATGTGCCTCTGTGCTTGTTCTATGCGCAATTGGCTTTGGTTGCTGTGTGCTTGACGAGCGCTGCTGTTGAATTACTGTTGCTTTTGCTTCGGCGCTCTCTTAAGCTAACGCTCTTCTGCGCTCTCTCGCACGACACTCTCACTGTTGCTATTACTCAAGCAGTTGGGCACGCACACACACAAGCAAGCAAACACACACGCACGCACGCACTCACACTGCTCGGACACTTTGCTCTCTCACTGGCTTGCTTTGCTTGTTTTTTTTTTTGAATAACTTGCCAAAGCTTTCGGTTTACTTATTGCCACGTTTTGTTGTTGCTCTTGTGCGTTTGATATTTTCTTTTATATTGTTTTTTTCTTTTGCTGATTTGTTTTTGTTTTTATTTGATTTTTTATTTTTGATGGGTTTTTGCCGTTTGGCGTTGTGCACGATGCCGCGATTTTTTATTAAATGAGCTTTTGTTGTACCTTTGAAATATTTATAATCACAAAATTCATTAAATTGCGCCTTGTTGTTGCTGTTGTTCTTGTTGCTGTTTGGTGGTCGCTGTTGCTGTATTTTGTAGTAGTAGTTGTTGCTTGTTTTTTTCTTTCGCTGGCTCTGACGGACGTTTTGTTTCGTGAATGCACTTTTTTTTCTCTCACTGCGTCCTCTGTTCTAAATGTTTGCCCTATTTAATGCTGCCAATGTATGAAAAAGATGCAGATAGAAAATAAAACAAAAATTATTATATTACTGCAAAAGTTAACTGTTATTTTATGTGTTAGTATATTCCCTCATTAGCTCCCTTCCTGCTGTTTATCACATTTCTTTCGCACTTGTCTTAAGTTTTTGTGTGTTGTTGGAAGGAAGCAAAGCAAAGTTAAGCAAAGTGCGCGCCGTGTTTACGGTTATTTTTTGTTGTTTTGTTTTCGATTGTTTTGCTGCTGTTGTTGTTGTCGGCGTCATTTCCAATTCCAACGCGCAATTTCTATTACTTTCGACAAGAACAACAACAAAAGCATTGGCTTGTCATTTTTGGCTTCTATTGCTCTCCCCTCTTTCACTCTTTCTCAGTCTCTCGCTTTATGTATGCTTTGCCTCTCTGAGGCCAAAAAGAAGATGATGTAAGTTTTTTTTAAATACATACCTATATACATCATATTGATGTGTTTAGGTAGGCTTGTGCGTGTATATCGCAATGTTTTTGCATTCCCAAACGATTTTAAACCTATGCATGTGCATATGTGTGTGTGTGTAAGTCTATGTATTTGTGTGTTATTCACAATTGCTTTTATTATGGGCTGGGGTAAAGCGCTTAATTAGTTTGCCATCTAAGAATTGGGGATTTTTATGCCATAAAGTGCAAGTTTGTTAACTGGGAATCCCAATATGTAAATATATAGATATCAAGTATACTTTAAGTCATTGTTTACACCAGTTACTGGTTTAATTAGTATAATACTCTCGAGAAATTACTAAATATATATATCACAATGTATATGCACCAAATCTTATCAAAATCCGCATGACAACATTGACAAATATCAAGAAAATAGACTCATTATGAATGTGATGGGAAAGTGAAACATAATTGGACTATAAATGCAATTAGTCATAGCAAATAGATATACATATAATCTTTGTTGGGCAAAACTTTACCTCATAGAAGACTGTTGGATTATTTGAAATATTTGTCTAATCTCCTTGGTTGGATAACTGGAACTTTAAATAGCTCTTCATGCTGACACTTATGGGTTAGCATATGATTCGCATTTGGCGATTTGTTAATGGCTGACAAAAGCTAAACAGCTTCAGGGATTGTCCAAGAAATCTCCTCAATCAGAACGGAATTTAAAAATTTTTTGATTACATGCTGTTTAAAGTTACTGAAATGAATATTTTGTCATTGAAATTGTGATCAAATTTATGCTTTGTATTTGTAGCCTGCTATATGAAATATATATTTCAGTTGTAGTTCTTTTTATATATATTTATATATATAACACAGATTTTAATGCCAGACTATACAGGAAAGCCTTTAAACTTCCGTCAGGGCCAAGTTCCCAAACGGCCTGAAGGTGAATTCTGTTTCAGCCCAAGCCCGGAAATGACAGAAATGAACAAGAGATACTCGTGTGCAAATACACCATATTCACACATGCAAAGAAAGAGTGAGAGGGAGAGTGTACTGCGTGTACGTTTGTTGGGTGGGCGCTTTGTGGTTGGCGTTGTTTTTGGCAATCCGAGACCCGGCAGCGCCATCTGCAGCGCGATCACGTACACATATTGTTTCGATATTTTGATATAGTTTTCTTGTAATATTTACCTGGTAAATTAAGCGATAAGTCGTGCTTTAATTATTATCCGATTTTTCAACAAGCAGTTCGCGATTTGCGCTATTTTACTTTCCTCAAAACACGTAGACGATAGCAAAGACGAACACAAGTGATGGATAAAAAGAGCGAGGAAAATCGCTTACACCACGGCCAATAAACAAGGACGACGAACGCCGAATATTCGCGAAATAACGATAGACGCGCCTAACATATAACGAGCCAACCGTTACACCGCGTTTCTTTCTTTTTTGCTGTTATCTTTCTTCGTGAAAGAGAGAGGCGCGAGTGCGGCGATGACAGCGTTGCTGACCGTTACAGTTGGAGTGACGTTATTGGTTACGGTTACACGATTTGAATCTCTGTTCGTTTTGGCTCACGTGTATATGTAACACTAATGTAAATGTATGTATATTTGATTGTATATAGAGCACGCACACACAGATAAATATTCTATTTGTTGAATTTGAATAGAGCACACAGCCACTGTATTTAAATAAATCAGCAAGCAAAAAGAATCAACGTATCGACACAGATCGGTGAGCGACAGCGAGAGAGTGAGACAGAGATGTGGAAAATATGTATGTTGTAGAGAGTGGGAGAGTGGAAGCAAGATCGGAAATGCAGCGACGACCCGGTGTAAAGGTGACGGATCAATTCTGCGGTCCCAAAACTATGTTCGATGGTTAAATTTGTATTTGTTTGAAATATTACGTGAACGTGCGCAAGCCACTAACCGACAAGATGACTGCACTCGCTTTTTACTGAACTACACTAATAGACTGACAAATAAAACCTTAATTGCTTATATTGTTTTTCTTATTCTTTTCGTTTTTGGTTTTTCCTTTTCCCAGCACACACACACACACATACAGGCAAAAAACACAACACAGAAACGCGTGTGGTCAAAGCACGTTGCTCAGAAAGTTTCGAGAATGTTGTGGGCGGCAACAGCGCGTTGGCAACTAGTTGGGTTTTAAATGTTAACAGCTCGATTCATATATATTCGAGAGAGCACTCACAAGTTTTTTGCGGCTTTCGTTTAAATCTCTCGTATCTTCCACTTTTAATTTGCACAATATGAGCGGGAAATATTGTTGCTGTTAATGGTTGTGATTGTGGGCTGGTTGGTCACAGAACTGATCGTCGTTTGGTCCAATTTTCTGCACAATTTCCGTTACCTGCTGTTGGTCTATACTTGAGTGTCGAACATGTGACGAGCAACTGATGGCCGCTGCTTAAGCAAAACCGTATGTTTGAACAAATCGCGGCAGCTACTCGTCGTCGGCAGCGACAGTGCACTGTGGGCCAAAGACAATGCCATTGGTCAAACAAACTGTTAGTATCTGTGGACTTGTATAATACACGTTTCAGTCTTGTCATAAACTATATTATATCTAAAATTACATAAAAATAATATATTTACATATACATATATATACGCATATATATATATATATATTTCGTTAAAATAAAAAGAGAAAAATTACAAAGCCGTTTTCATTCCAATTCGATTTGTCAATAAGATTGCCATGCTACTTAAACCACTGTGCCGCAGAGAGTCAAGAATTGAAATCAAAGCAAAAAAATAAAACGAAATATAAAAAGTGAGCAGCGAAAAAGTTCACAAATAACTAAGTCGCCGCCGGCATATAGCAACAATAACCAAATCTATGTACATAAATGTGTTTGTATGCATGTGTGGCGGCGAGCAAATTTATATAAGCATGTATGTATATAAGTGTTTTTAATTAAATATAAATGTTTGTGTGTACTGTTAAACATTCACATTTAAATAACAACAATTAGTCGAGTCTTTTCTGAGAGAGAGTGAGTGAGTGTGGTCTGCTCTCACTCTCACTCTCAGCACACTCTGTCTGTGCTGACAGCACTGGGTCAGTCGTTAGTTGGCTCGTCCATTGTTTTGTTGTGTTTTCACTTTTAAGCCCAGTTTTTCGCTAACATGTGGTTGGCCCTTGCTGTTGGCAAGTCCATGCCTATGTGAGCGAGAGAGCCAGTCATAGAGAGAGCTTTCAATGTGAAGATCAGGCAACGCATTTCGTGTAATGAAAAATGTTGTTATTATTGCTGGCGAGTCATAAAGAAATACCGGCCGGCGTCGGCATTGAATAAGAGAGGGAGAGTGGGAGAGCGACCGTGCGCGAGTGAAGAGAAAGCGTCGGCCTTGCGTGTCAGTGCTGCCATTTTTAATTATAGTGCTGCCATTCGCATAAACACAATATGTACATGTATTTTGTTTTTATCTATTTAATTAGCAAATAAGTGAGGTTAATCATAACAAAATGCGTTCTTCTTTTCATTGATATCCGACATAAACATTCGATGGTACACGTGATACGTGAGAAGAGCATAGAATATGTACAGACAACTATGCATGTGTTATGTACATTATGTACATACATTTATGTGAATGTGTGTGGGTCGTGAATGCAATTGTACACTAGCATGGCATATTTTTGGCTTTGCACAATGCCATCGACTTTTTAAACGCAGCAAAAATAAATAGAAATAAATAAAAACCAAATATATGCACATACAATGTTTAGATTGCCAAAGGCGATGCGTAGTATTTTAACCACGCGCTAAATACAAATATACACACATTTATATACATACGTAGTATGTATATTTATATTTCTACGGGAGCCATTTATTCTGTTCAAATTGTACATATTAGACATATAAGGAAATATGTTGTTTATATAAATAAAAATGAAAAAGAATCCGAAGCAAATGACAAGAAATTTTAATTTGAGTTGTATCCGAATATTTTACTTCACACAAAGACGACGCCTAATATAAGACAAGGTTGATATAAATAAACAAATATAAGAGCGCAACACATGTAAAACTAAAAAATTTCAGGCTCAAAAATCGCTATGTATTGCTCACTCTTATTCCTTCTTCTGTTATCACTCATAGTTTCGCGGGTTTTCTATTGAGTGACAAATCTTTGGGACAACAGTTAATTTGAATGCATTTATCTGATTGTCTTAATGATTTATTGCACTTCATATACTATACATTTCTAAGCCTGCTCAGTTAACGGTAAAAAAAGCTTTCGCAACAATGGCGCGCTGCATACTGAGGAGAGGATGATTTTCATGTTGAAGGCAAACACCACGCATAGATGGCGCCAACAACAGTTTGGTTATTGTAAGAAATAATATTTAATCAAAAAATATGTATATATTAGGGAATAAAACAAGTAAATTTATGGTAAAGAAAGATCTTTATAAGTATAAAATCAATCAAAATAATTTATAACAAATGTACATTTCAAATTTGATCAAACTCTCCATCGCTCAGCGAAAACGTCGCACATAGATGGCGCCAGCAGCAAGCAATGAGCTCAGCACGATTGTTCCACTAAGAACTTTGCCCAACAACTGGTCCTGCCACTGACGATTGGCAATGCACTGACTGTAGGGCATGCTGGTGAAGGAGACGCTGTTGTAGAGCGGCACCCAGTGATTGGGAAAGAAGCGAAACAGCGTTGTGTCCAGCCACTTGCGACAGCGAAACGACCAGCGCTTGGTTAAATCGCGCATCTGTCAAGCAAAATAGATAGATAAGTGGAAGCTAAGTCGATATGTAGTAGCTTTTCACACCTCTACATAGTTGTACATGGCCAGATCACAAATGGCATGGGCATCTTGCCAGCGTGATTCCGTAAACTGCTCCAGTGCAACATCCAGCGGGAGTTCCTGATTCAGTATGGAGCTGAGCAGCGTTAGATCCTCCATGCCCGCATTCATGCCCTGGCCATAGTAGGGTACCATAGCATGTGCAGCATCGCCTAAAATCAGAGCTTTATCCATATAGTGATACGGCTTGCACTTAACGGACATCAAATGCTGTGGACGTGACTTGAAGAAGTCCTTGATCAGCTGCTGCTCGCCAATCAGAGGCAGTGCGTCCACATAGTGAGTGCGAAAGAAGTCCAGCAGCTGTTGCTGCGTCTGCAATTGCCCAAACAGCTCAAAGGGCATCGATAAAGTGACCGTAAAGGACTTATCCTGATTGGGCAATGCGATCATCATGAAGGAATCTCGCGGCCAGATGTGCAAGTAATTCGGTGGCATTTGAAATTCATTGTCCTTGGCAGGTATGCAGAGCTCCAGGTAGCCCGTGCCAATATACTCCTGCGAGTAATTGAAGCCGGGCTGACGCACGAGCTGCTGCCGCAGCGCACTGAAGGCGCCATCGCAGCCCACAATCAAATCCGCGGCAACAGAGATCAGCTGCTCCTCTGCCTGCCTTTCTGTCCCCAGCTTGAACTGCATACGTGCCTCTCTTATATTGGCACTGATCAACTTATGCTCGAAATGGCATTGAATATTGGGAAAGGCATCGCAGGCATTCAGCAGCAGCTCGTTCAGCTGCTTGCGACCCACTGAGTACAAGCATTGATTGTTGCAGGGATCGTAGAGCACAATGCTCGTGCGCCCTTTGACATTGTGCAACATGCGTCCTCGCATGGGTATCGCTGTGGCCAGCACCTGCTGCTCTAGGCCCACGGCTGCCAAGGCCTTGCGTCCACGTTGAGACAGCGCTAAATTGATGCTGCGTCCCTGCACAAGCTGAGCCTGGCGTATGTCCTCACGGTATTCGTAGAGCTGCACCTCATGACCCATGCGGGCAAAGTTCAAAGCGGCCAATGAACCCACCTGCATAGGCAGACGATAATATAAGAGAGGATATATGACACTCTTAGACTCGCTAGAAGCTGATTGATAAATGTAACTCTTATACGCTACAGACAAATGTTATACGATATTCTTGTACGACACTCTTATACTTAGAAGACATTCTTAAATTACTTAGAAGTGTTAAATGAGAGTGGATAAGCGAGTTAAATAGCTTTTATAAGACACTCTTATACTCTGTAAGACACACTCTTATACTCTGCATATGAGCTTAATGTATGTGGTATATCGGAGTTTTACATATAGGTGAGTTTCATGACTGTGATATAAAACTCTTATACTACATATACAATTTTACGTATGTAGTTACTTGACTCTTATACGCTCTTATGTGCAACTCTTATACTGCATAGATGATTCTGCTGATGGATTCATATGATACTTATACTTTACACACTTATACAATACTCTTATATTATACTAAATACAGTAATCTGAGACCTTGCTAAAGAGCTTTATGTGCCATGCCTTTACAAGTGGAAGATCATATATAAGATCGTATTTATATAGCATTATAAGGCTATACAGCTGAAACTTTTTCAACAGATGAGCTTGAAGTTTGATGGCCTTGTTATAGCTTAATGAGTTCCAAATATTATTTCGGCTGCCAGCTAATCCCCCCTGCGATAAGCAGTAGATAAAGTCGACTTACCAGACCAGCTCCTACAATGGCCACCTTTCGTCTCGTAGCTGCGGCTCCATTGCCATCTGCATAGACATAGCTCGCTGTGCTCTGTGACATGTCGTCGACTACTTGTGGTTGCTGGCGATGGAGTGTGGGTTTTGGTTGGCTGCGACGACCGTACGCTGGGCGCGTCCGAAACGAAATGGGCTGCCAGTTGCCAAGTCTGTTTGCTATAATGATAATACGGAAAGACAGTAAATGCTATCTCTATGCTGAGACGAGTAGGGAAGCTCTACAAATGTCTAGCCGCAATTCCCTTCAGTGGGCCAGCCGATACCCAGTTGAGTTTTCACTTTCCGTGGATGGCAGTTATCAAAGGGCAATCCAATTTGGAGCAACTTGATCGTCATAAGGTCTCAGCTAAGTTGGCATTACAAAACGATTATATTTGTCAATGGTTTGTCTTCTAGGTCAACGGAAACTCAAAAGTTAATTTATTCCCATTATTCAGGCTTGCAAAGAAACTTTCGAACATTTCTGGTTTGGTTTGTTGTGCATAATCTAGATACAACAATTTGCATATTTTTACTGATGGCTTGCATATTATTCACCATTCAGGTATGCATTTGTGTCAGCACCTCTTTTTAGTATAGCGCAATAACACAATAAAACAAATGCGGAAATGTCTTTGGTTTAAAAAAACGTTGCCAAAGCGAAGATATAAATTCGATTGTCATTGGCAGTAGTTATCGTTTAGTACAAAGAGCAATGTGTGCTCAAATTTGCGTTAACATAGCTCTATTTGCGTTTCGAATTGTGTTCGCTGACATTGCGTCGCAGTTGTGTTCTCTTCTATTTGGGTTAATACTAAAGTGTAAGATGTTTTAATTGCTCACATGCAGCTCTCTTAGTTCATATATACCATTAGCATTCATATTTTCTCATCTATGCAATAACTTCGCCTTCTTGTCTCATATTACATTTCAGCACTGCGCACCATGCTCTCTCTGGTTGCTCATATTTGCGTTAATGCGCTTAATAGCTTGCTGTATAAGAAAGTTGCTGCCCAATTGTATGCCAGTGTGAAACGTGAAAGTCCACAGGGTGAACGCGTCTTTTTCGTCACTCTGCACCAAAGAAAACAGCTGACTTTCTGTGCGCGTTACCTGCGAATGGCCAGACGCCATTGTGTACAAAAGTGTGTCGCAGTCGCCAAATAAACGAGAAAAAAGTGCAAATCTTTTATAAATTGCCAATAAGAAAAATAAAGGTCGTCTAGCTGCTGTTGTTGTTGGTGTTCATACATTTTTACCTAATTACATTTTCAAGCCAAACACTCATACACATACAAAATGGTAATTAAACTTTGCCAAATAACAAAAATTCTAGAAAAGTGCTTTTATGGCTGTTTTTTTGTAATTTCAAGATGCAAAAAGCCAAATTTTCGTTTCACCAAAATTTATTAATACGAACTTTACGTATGCATTGCAGGGAAATGAAACGTCGCTGCCCATGGAAATGTGCTCAAATTGTAAGTTAATAAATTTAAATTTATATATAATTTCTATAGTCAATGTCATTTGAATGGAATTTGGCCAGCTGCTTATGCATATTCCACGTAGCTAAAACACTTGAAATATCCAAAAGACAATTTGAACGCGTGCAAACGAATAATTTACGGACGCCTTTTGCATTTACAGTTATTTGCGTTACTTTATGTGTCTTGTTTGTCCAATGGGAGCAGTATTTATTTATTGCCAATTGGAATATGAGAATTGTGCCAGTGTGACACTTGTTTATTTTTGTTTGAGCCGTGCGCCAACGGGAATGTGAATTGTAATAGGATGATACGTGTATGTACTCAAATTGGTATGTGAATTCTGATTAGTTCAATAAATTTTTAATGTTAATTGTGACGTAGTGATAGTTGATAGCTATTTAGCTATTAGATTGGCTTTGGTAGTCAGTTGGAGTGTGAATATTGTGCTTGATTGATGTCTGTTTGCTATTGTCTACTATGTGTTTATTGGAATGTATGCTAAGTGGAATGATTTTGAATGGAAATGGAAATTGTATTAGTATGATACTGCTTAGATTTTAAATTGAAATTTGTAATACAGTAGAGTGATACCTTTTAACTTATTGAAATTGCATTAAGAATTGCTTATATATTTAGATGCATTGTATTGTTGTATTGTATTTACGCCAAAAAGAAACTCTTTCCATAAGATTTATTAGTATGGTTGGTTAAAATATTCTAGTTAGTAAAGCAATGCGCTTCAATTGGATATATAACTCTGCTGGTATGCTGGTACTTGTTGGTTTTGAAGTATGGACTGCTAAAAATATTTCAATTTAATTGTCGTGTTAGAATTGAAATCTATAGTGTGCAGACTTGCATCTTTTAGTTATTATTGTGCTATTTTGTAGTCTGAATTGTGCTTCATAAATACTTTCAATGGGTATCTTCATTTTTTCAGTTGTAAGTTCAATATAAATTGTGCTGGAGTGACTTTTATTACTTGATTGCTTGATGTTTTCTAATTGGGACGTTCGTATTGGAAAACAAACTATGATTGAAAATAAGTGTCTAGTTGGAACTTGTGCTGGGATGATACTGAATATGATAGATGTTATATGTTAAGCATGACTTAAGCTAGTATGACGCTTGTAATTAGAATTGGAATTAAAATTATGCGTGAATGACAATTAATACATATGATCTAAATCATACCTGCTAAAATTATATACTCTCCATTTGATATTACTGGATTTATTTATTTATCGAAAGTAAGCAAGTGTCATTAACATAATGCTTGCATTCACAATTTGGCTAACAGTTGCTCTATTTTTAATTAGCCTATGCATATTATGAATATCAATAAACATTTTCATTGTCATTTTGGCTCTTGGCGGGGGGGTGAGCTATAAATAGAAACGATCACGAGCAGCACAGGGTGCACAGCGTATACAGGGCGTAGACAACCACACGTGCAATGGTTGCCTTGTTGAAACTGTTTCCGTATGAAACTAATAACAACTCTCTCCATCCCTTTCTCTCTCTCTCTCAGTCGATGCAGATGAGATTCGTCGTTTGGGCAAACGTTTTCGCAAATTGGATTTGGACAACTCGGGCGCATTGAGCGTGGATGAGTTCATGTCGCTGCCGGAACTGCAACAGAATCCGCTCGTGCAACGCGTGATCGACATTTTCGATGCGGACGGCAATGGCGAAGTGGACTTCAAGGAGTTCATTCAAGGCGTTTCCCAGTTCAGCGTGAAGGGCGACAAATTGTCAAAGCTGCGCTTTGCCTTCCGCATCTATGACATGGACAACGATGGCTATATATCAAATGGCGAACTCTTCCAGGTGAGCGAATCAAATGAGATTGTCGCATAAGCGTAGCTTTATATGTATATTGGATATACCAAACAGGTACTCAAAATGATGGTTGGCAACAATTTGAAAGACACGCAACTGCAGCAGATTGTGGACAAGACAATTGGCTTTGCGGACAAGGATGAGGATGGCAAAATATCGTTCGATGAATTCTGCTCGGTCGTTGGCAACACGGATATACACAAGAAGATGGTTGTAGATGTCTAAGAGGTGCGGCCGGGCTGCAAATGAGGCAAAGATAAAGCTGAAGCTCAAGCTGAAGCTAAATGCGTTTAGGTTTACCTTTTCTTTATGCATATATATATATCTTTATTTATATATGTGTGTATAAATATCTTTTTCACTAGTTACTATTTATTTTTGATATATTTTATTCTTGTTTTTGTTTACTATTTTAGTTTTGATTTGTTTTCAATAATTAATATCACACTTTCTAAAAGAGAAACAAAACAATCTGTTAAAAGTTGTATTTCTAAGTCGTAAAGTAAAGTCAAAGGAAGGGAAAAAGAAAACACAAATAATTCTTAGACAGAGAGAGAGAGAGAGAGAGAGAGAGAGAGAATATTAAATAATGAAAATGTGCGCCTCCTACTTACATATTTCTTAAATATATATAAATATATAGTCATAATTTATACAAAAACAGAAAAAAAACTGAAGAAGAATTGAAACAGAAGCAAAAATAAAGCAAGTTGAGCGTTTTTTTAAATATATAATTATGCTCTTTTTATAATAATTAATAAAAATTGAATATACAATCTTTATACACAAATTAATATACATATTTATAAACAAATTGAGAGAGAGGCCTAAAAATATAACAAGATAAACTTGGTCAAGCACAAAAAGCAAATCTCGTGTGTTCATAAGCTTTAAACTAAAAATGAATGTGTGTGTGTGTGAGTGTGTGCATGTCTGATTTATAATTTATATATACATATATATATCTATCTGTTTATAAACTCTCTTAGACTTTTCTGTTACTAACAACTTCTAATTCTCCTGTGATTTGGCCAAAAAAAAACTAAAAAATAAAATTCAGAACTTCGCTAGCCTCTTTAAAGTATATATAAATATAACTATATTATATATCTATATACTCTTTATAAAACTCTAATTTATGGAGCTTTTAATACACATACCAACAAAGAAATCAAAAAACAAATCTGTGCTATATGTTCTTAACTCTTTTTTACTAAAAACTTTTTAAATATATATAAAAAATAATAATAAATTATTTAATACAAAATAAATACAAAAAAAGAAAAAAATATATATATCTAAAAAATATTAAACAACAAAGTGAATTATTTCATACAAAAGAAAAAAAATTTTATTAGAAAAGAAAACGTTAAAAAATGTATTTAAAAAATTCACTTTTTTCGTACAAAAATAATTATTTAAAAAAACATTAATATTATTTCATATTCATTTAAAAAAATTCATTTATATATATAAAAAACATACAAATTATTTCATTCAAAATTCATATGAAAATATAGAACTTTTAAATTATTTTATACAAAATTACAAAAAAAAAATTACATATTAAAACAAATCAATTCATACAAAAATAATGCAACAAATTATACGTTTAAAAAATCATTTAAAAAATATAAAACAAAATGAACAGATTATTTCATACAAAACTCATATGAAAAATTAAAATTATAGTTATATATTGAAAAAAGCATTTAAAAATATACAAAAAAATATAAATAACAAATTTCTTAAAACAAAAATTAAAAAAAAAAAATGATATAAATTAAAAAATATAACAAATGATTTGATATAAAATAAAAAATAAAATCATTATATTTAAAAATGCGAAGTTCATATAAAACTCAAAAAAATAATTATATATTTAACACATTTTTCTCAATTATAAAATTCAATATGAATATGTTTATTGCATACATAAAATATATATTATAAAAATAAAACAAACCACTAAATCTAACCAAGTTAACTTAGTATATAAAACTATATATATATGTATATGTATATATAACAACAAAATCGAATATTTATACATATGACGGTTGATTAACAAATTTTATACTTAAACTTATATGACAAAAAAACACGAAATGAAACGAAACTCTAGTTAAATAAATTAACGAAATGCATGTTATAAATTTTTATAAAAATTAGCAAAAAAAAGAAACTTTTTGCACCATTTTGCGCCATTTCACAAATGTTTGTTAGCTAAAACTAATCAATTTTTTTTTTTGTTTTTTAACAACAATTTATAACGAGCTGAGCCAAAAAGATACAAAGAAATAAACGCTGCAAAGACAATTGCAATTTTTGTTGTTTGCAAAACTCAATTGAGGCGGCTCGACGAAGCAATAAATAAAAAAATATATATATATAAACTACTATATGAAAGTATGTTCATTTAATTTATTAAATATTGTTTAAATAAATTTTTATCATTTTTGGGATATTTTCAATGACGACAAACGCAAACGGATTTGCTATTGCAATAGCCGCCCTTGAAGCGCTTGGCCAGACAGTGAGCAGCGCAGGCTGTATTCTTCACATTCCAGAAGCTGAGCAGATCGCAAGTGGCACGCTTTTGACGTTGATGAGCAACAGGTGTGGTATTTTGCACCTCCTCCACAGCAGCTGTAGCGATCACATCCTTTAGCTCCACAGCTTGCAGAGCTTTTGCGACAGGTGGTGGAGTTGTTCCCAGCTCCTCCTGGGCCTCCTGTGCAATCGTATCTTCCTTTAGCTCAATGGGCAGCTTCTTGACCACAGGCTGAGCTATTGCCACAGTCATTACAACGACAAGCAAGGTCAGGCACACGATCGACTTCATGGTAAATGTTGATAGCGGCTTGGGTTGTGGTGTTGAACTGTTGTCTCAACTTATCTTAACTGACAGTGCACCTAGTTTATATACAGCCACGCGTCGCCTTTGTCTTTCGGTGAGCTGCGAGCTCAATTTCGGAATTCTCCAGGGGAATTCCTTCGGAATTCCCATTGGGTAGTTTTGTCTCTGTGGTATTCTTAAACACACGTTGATCACGTACAAGGGGACTTTTAGGCGACAATATCACTTGAGTAATTATTCCGTAACAGATGACAATGGACAATAAATAATTTAAATAAGGTATAGGCTTTTTCTAACTCTCCCCTCAGCTAGTCATAATAAATATAAAGTAATTCAATTAAAATTAAAGTATAAAGCCTCTTAATTTTCAAAAGAACAAATCGAATTGCTTAAGTTTGCTATGAAAATCAGAAAATACTCTAAATAATAAACTTGACAGCGAAATTGGCGCCAAATATTTCAAATAATCGTGCTGTCACGACTTTGAATTTCGTTGAGTACTCGCAAACGTTGTGACTTTAAGATTCGTTAAGTTCTCTTAAAAATTAATGTCATTAGTGTTAAGTTTCGTTGAGAGTCATTAGAGTTGCAAACTACAACGTTGCCAGTGCATGTTTTCTCCAGCCCTTGAACCGTTTGGCGCCAATTATTTGTACTACAACGACTTGTGGATGAATTTCACAATGTTGACGAATAAAGTTTTTCCAACCCTAACATTTCTGAGCACAGAAAGTAAACAAGTTGATTTAAGTTAATCGGTGCTGATATTTTTATGTATTTCGCCAATATATATGCTAAAGTAATAATAGAATATGTCGGACATAGACGGCATTTTCTCGCTGCGGCTGGTAATTGCCGATTTTTATATGGAAAAGCCTATATTTGGGCTCGATCCGTGTTACTCTGAGCTGCGCGGCAAGGAAATAAAGCGCGTAAATACAAGTAATTTGGCAACAATCAATAATATTACTGATCTATATATATTCTTTTCTAATAGGTGCCCATTGTGCGCATATTTGGTGCGAATGCCAGTGGCCAGAAATGTTGCATGCATGTGCATGGCGTCTTTCCCTACTTGTATATACCCTACGATAAACGGGACTTTGAAACTGTGGAACGGGGCATATTGCAAATAGCCATGCATTTGGACAAGGCCATCAATATATCGTTGGGGCAGGGCAATTCCAATGCGCAACATGTCTTCAAAATACAATTGGTTAAGGGAATGTAAGCAATATATGCATAAATATTTGTATATATATATTTAAGTATTATTTCTTTTACTCTTTTATAGTCCCTTCTATGGCTACCATCGCACGGAGCATCAGTACTTTAAGATTTTCATGTTCAATCCGCGCTTTGTGCGACGCGCAGCTAATTTACTGCAAAGCGGCGCTATATTGAGCAAAAATTTCAATCCACACGAATCGCATGTACCCTACATTCTGCAATTCATGATCGATTATAATTTGTATGGCATGAGCTATTTGCATGTGCCGCTTGAGATTGTCAAATTTCGTAGGCAAACAGAGGAAGATGGTATGGAATCACAGATAATCTATTCGCTTGGAATCCTTACTCCTTGTCGCTTGTCTTGCAGTTGTGGCGTATGCGAATGTGAAGCCGCAACAGCTCTTGGATCCCACTGCTGTTAAGAAAGTCGCCTGCAGTGCTTTAGAAGTAGATATTAGCTCAAACTTTATACTGAATCGCTTCCAGTTGATCACCAAAACGACTTCAACGCACACAAACCCCGGCATTGAGGCTATTTGGCATGATGAGCATGTGCGACGACAGAAACTGGCTGAGAGCTATGGCGCAGATAGCCAGAAACTAAATGCGGTAGCTGTTGAAACTTTACTTATGCCAATTTCTCATTAATTTTACTGATAAATGTCCCTCGGTTGCAGCTGCCTGTGCTGCAAGTGCCGCCCACACAGGAGCGCCCGAATGTTGAAATAGCTGAGAGCGATAATTTCTATCGCGCTGCTCTAGAGAGCAAGCTGCTATCCTTGGAACAAACTGTGAGCGGGGAACAAACTCTAGCCGATCAGACACAGATCAACAATATAAATATCACGCTGCAAACAAGCGCCAAGGAACAGCGTCGTCAATTTAATTTACGAAAGCTTTTGGTAAACGCCGTTTATCCAGAAGAATGCAGTCAGGATGCGCAGCAGCAGTTGGTCAATGCATCTGTTATACAAAATCATCTATCGGGCAGCGGGAGTGCGCATAGTCTAGTGCGTGATGCTGAGAACGAGGATGAAGCGGCCTTTTTGGACGATACGTTAGTCGATGAGGAGCTGCTACAACAAGCTAATGGTCCAGTGCCACATGATGCTACATGTAAACATATAGACGATATATAAAATTATATATAACTAATTGAATCTAAATTTAGTGCGCGAGGAGGACTTGGAGCTGCTTGAAGTGCTGCAACAGCTGGAGGAGCAGAACGCAAATGAGTCCCACATCGATTTGGATAGTTCGCTAGCGCAGCTCTCACAGCAGCATAAACAGTGTAAACTCTTACATAATTTAACCATGTATACTTGAATTAATTTCCAATTTATTTTACAGTTGAGCTAACGCCTGAGTTGCTGGACAAACAAACAGCTGCAGCAGCCACACAGCAGCCGCTGTCTGATGACGAAAGTGACAACTCGGATGAAGAGAACACAGCTGGCACTGCACATGACTTTTCCATTGCTCTCGATGATATTGATGAGCTGCTGCTTAAGCTCAGTCAGAGTCAGAGTCAGCCTGATGCTGCGCCTAGTCAGCAGCGTGAGATGCCCCAAGTCGACGGCGCTGATGATCAATTGCAACGCACTCCCACTAAAGCCAGGACCAGGGCACAACAACGCACTTCACCGCGTACGCCCACGACACCCAAGAGTCGTATAAGCATGCAGCAGCCACGCACGCCCAAGTCAAATGTGGCCAAGAAATATGCGCCTCTACCATTGATCATAACCAATAGATCTGCACAGAGTAGGTGTGGAAACCTTACAGATAAAAACTCATTAATCTTAAGCCTTGTATTGTATTACAGAGCAATCGGATGCAGCTGCTACTGCAGCGCTAGCTAGCAGCGCCATCAAGAAGCACCTGAGCCAGCAGCTTGAGTCGAACGTTAAGAGGTATTACCACATTTAAATAAAACTATACTCTTACCGATAATGGCATATCCTTCATATGTAGCACAGCTATACCACTTCGCAAAAAGCTAGCTATGTCAGAGCTGCGGCGAAAGACCATTTCTGCAGACTCTTTCGCAGAAGTGAAAGCCCTGCAACAGGCGGATGACTGGTAGGCTTACTTATTATTCTTTTTAAAGTTCCTCTAAATAGTTTTCCCGCTTTCAGTACTCCTCTACGTCGCAGCACGCGCCGTAGCACACGCGATTTGGACAAAACTCACATTATTTGCTCTCTGACGCCGCGTCAGAAGATGTCGAGCATTTCGAATGTCTTTGCAGCATCGCCAGCGGAGTCTCTAGTCGAACAGAAGCAACCACGTCGCAGTACACGCAACAAAGCTAAACAAGATGTAGAGCAGAAACCTGTTCCTAAGCCAAAGCTCTATTTGGATAAGATTAGCCCGCTGGCAGATTCCCCTGCTACGACTAGTGATGATGAGGCAATTGTATCTGATACAGAGAGCGATAGATCGACACCCAAGCCAAATTTGAGGCGTTTACGGCGCAGCTTTCGAGAATCGCTGCTGGCGAAACGAGCGACACCTCAGAGTAAAATATTAGAAAGCCATTCACCAGCCACACCAAAGAGTGTTAGGAGCCAAACTCCAGCGAACTCACTGGCAGCGAATACAAAGAGTCAACCTGCAACAATTCCAGTGCACGAGAGTTTAAGGAGTCGAGCTGCCGAAAGTCCCATGCCAAAGAGTTCTATGAGCCAAACTGCAGCGAGTCCAGTACCAGAGAGCGCAAGCAGTCGAGCTTCAATAAGTGCCCTACCAGAGAGCGCAAGAAGTCCAGCGCCAGCAAGTTCAATGCTAGAGAATGAAAATGCGTCAAGTGCCAAAAGTCGAACCCTGCCAAGTCCAATGCCAGTGAGATCTATGAATCATACTCCAATAAATCAATTGCCAATACCTGCGACTCCCACTCAATCTGAAAAAGTTGGAGCAGCAGATGTACCTGAAAAGGAAGCAATAGGCACACCACAATGTAGTCCATGTAGCATAGATTGTAACACGCCAGAGCTAATGAAAAGTTTCTATGAGCATTCGTTGATTATAAACAGTCCATCTGTATTCAGCGATGACATAGACAGTCCAGAGTTGTCGGCGGAAACGAAGCTCGTGGCTAAGCCTGGCGTGAGTTCAAGCAACTCTGCAGATCCCAACACATTTGTGATAACTCCCTTAGAGTTGCCGCCCAGTTATGAGGAGGTATTGCACAGCTGTCGCAAATTGGACATATGCCCCGAGTATGTGTTCCAGCAACCGTACTATAGCAATCCTGCCGACGTTAGTAAAATGACCGAGGTGGGTTTTTTGGTATTGCGCATTCCTGGCAATAAGCTCAACGATTTGGAGCCCTTCGAAAGTTGCGTTCTCAATAGCAATCAAGGTCTGGCTGCCTGGCGCAGAAGGCAATTGGTATCGATTGGTGGACCGGCTATGTTGCAACGCTATCGGAATGAGCAGCAGGTGCGGGAGTACTTCAGCAGCGAGCAACGTCTGGTCATGGAGCCAGCAATGAGTCCGCCCAGCAGGCAGGATGCCAAACTGTGGTTGAAAGCAAGGGAACTGCACAAGCAGCGCCAAGGCGGAAAGGAAGAGCTGCATCCTGTAGGCAATGATGTGGACAGCCCTATAAAAGTCAAGCGTCAAAAAATAACTATGATGCTTAATGAAGTCGAAGCAGAGGGTGGAGCCAGTGGCGATGAGGATGGGGACCTGAATTGCAGTGGGCTAACACTAACGCCCATGTCACAGACGCCGCAGCACAGTGGCACAGACAAGCCCCAATTGAAGGGCACACCGCTGAGCAGTAAGATGCGCTCTAAGCGTGCCACAAAACTTCAATTTGAAGCAGCACGGGATGAGCAGCCAGGCAGCAGTCAATCCAGCGAGAAAAGCGTGAGCAGCGATGCTGCCTTGGAGGCGCTGGAGCGCAGTTCATTCGTTAGGAGTATCAGCAGCGGACGCAATAGTCATGAGCTCAGCTTCGGGCTAACCAATGCCACGCTGGACAACACCTTCGGCTTTAAGGTAAATCTGGAGAATTTACAACAGGCCAAAGCGGATATAGAGGTGAGTGAGTGATGCAATCCTAATATGTATAGCTGTTCAATTTATCTTGACTGATTTTCGCAGTGCAACTATTTGACTACCATGACACTGGAGCTGTTTGTGCCGACGCGTGGGGAACTGCTGCCGGATCCGTTACATGATGAGATACGTTGCCTATTCTATGCCATAGAGCACAGCTTGCCGGAGCAGTCACAGTCGCTGCCTAGCAAAGCCTGCGGCTATATCATCGTTAGTGATGGTCAGGATATTTTAAAAGAAGGACGTCATCATGGCCTGGATGCGGATATTGAGCTGCAGGTGGTGCAGAGCGAAGCTCAGGCATTTGAGGCTTTGCTTGCGCTCTGCACACGCTGGGATGCGGACATCTATGCTGGCTACGAGATCGAAATGAGCTCCTGGGGCTATGTGATTGAGCGTGCCAAGCATTTGTGCTTCAATATTGCGCCCCTGCTGTCCCGTGTGCCCACCCAGAAGGTGCGCGACTTTGTAGATGAAGATCGTGAATCGTTTACAGATCTCGATGTGGAGATGAAGCTCTGTGGTCGCATCCTTTTAGATGTTTGGCGTCTAATGCGCTCCGAGATTGCGCTCACCTCGTACAGCTTCGAGAACGTAATGTATCACATCCTGCACAAGCGTTGTCCCTGGCATAGTCCGCGTGCTTTGAGCGATTGGTATGCCTCGCCTTGCACCCGCTGGATTGTGCTCGAGTATTATTTGGAACGTGTGAGGGGCACCTTGGCGCTGCTCGACCAGTTGGATCTGCTGGGTCGCACGAGTGAGATGGCCAAACTGATTGGCATACAGTTCTATGAGGTGCTCTCACGAGGCTCACAGTTTCGTGTGGAGAGCATGATGTTGCGGTGGGTCGAGTGGTTCCTCTATAAATGTTATAAATTTTGATTCTAATTTTCATTTATAGCATTGCTAAGCCCAAGAATTTGGTGCCACTTTCGCCCAGTGTGCAGCAGCGCGCCCACATGCGTGCCCCAGAGTATTTGGCACTTATCATGGAGCCCGAGTCACGTTTCTATGCTGATCCGCTCATCGTGCTGGACTTTCAAAGTCTGTATCCTAGCATGATTATAGCTTACAACTATTGTTTCTCGACGTGCTTGGGCCGTGTGGAACATCTGGGCAGCAGCACTCCGTTTGAATTTGGTGCCTCGATGTTGCGTGTCTCACGGCAGTTGCTGCAGCAGTTGCTCGAACGCGATCTGGTCACCATTTCGCCATGTGGCGTGGTCTTTGTTAAGCGGCAGGTGCGCGAGGGCATATTGCCGCGCATGCTCAGCGAGATTCTGGACACGCGTCTCATGGTGAAGCAGTCGATGAAGCTGCATCGCGACAGCTCCGCGTTGCAGCGTGTGCTCCACTCTCGGCAATTGGGCTTGAAGCTGATGGCAAATGTAACCTATGGCTATACGGCGGCCAATTTTAGTGGACGCATGCCCGCCGTCGAAGTGGGAGATTCAGTAGTATCCAAGGGTCGCGAGACCTTGGAGCGTGCCATCAAATTGGTGGAGACGCATGAGAAGTGGAATGTGCGTGTTGTTTATGGCGATACGGATTCCATGTTTGTTCACGTGCCAGGACGCGATCGTGCTGAGGCCTTTCGCATAGGCGAGGAAATTGCTCAAGCAGTAACTGAAATGAATCCGCATCCGGTTAAACTGAAACTGGAGAAGGTCTATCAGCCGTGCATGTTGCAGACTAAGAAACGTTATGTCGGCTACATGTATGAGACGCCAGAACAAAGGGAGCCGGTGTATGAGGCGAAGGGTATTGAAACGGTGCGACGAGATGGTTGTCCAGCTGTGGCCAAAATGCTGGAGAAGGTGCTGCGATTGCTGTTCGAAACGGCAGACGTGAGTCAAATCAAACAGTACGTGTGCCGCCAATTCACCAAGCTGCTCACTGGTCGTGCCAATCTGCAGGATCTGATCTTTGCCAAGGAATTTCGCGGACTGAATGGCTACAAGCCCACAGCCTGTGTGCCGGCACTGGAGATGACGCGGTAAGTAGAAAATAATACATATATAAACAATTCACTCAAAATCTCATTCTATACCCCCAGCAAATGGATGTTAAAGGATCCCCGACGCGTGCCACGTCGTGGCGAGCGTGTGCCCTTTTGCATCGTCAATGGACCGCCAGGTATGCAGCTAATTCGTTTGGTGCGTAGTCCACACGAGATACTGGCCAATGAAGGCTACAAAATCAATGCGATTTACTATATAACCAAGGCTATCATACCTCCACTAAATCGCTGTCTGCTGCTCATAGGAGCTGATGTGAATGATTGGTAAGTGAATGAACCTCAGCTTCTAGTCCTGGAGCACGATATCTAACCATTCAAAATCGTTTGCAGGTTTAGCAACTTGCCACGCAAACTGCTCATGACACCTGCCCTCTCGACAGCCGGCGAGCTGTTGAATCGCGGCAATGCCAAGTCCACCATTTCACAATATTTCTCAACGACCAACTGCATCATTGAGTGCGGCCGCCAGACCAAAGAGGGTATCTGTACTGAGTGTGCGCGCATGCCAAACAAATGCGTGGTCACGCTCCAGGCAAAACTTGCGCAGCTGGACCGTGGCTACAGATTGACCCAACAGATATGCCAAGCTTGTTGTGGCAGATTGGGTGACCTGCAGTGCGGTTCTTTGGATTGCCCGGTGCTCTATGTGTTGGAAGTGAAACGCCGAGAGCTGCAGCAGATGCCATTTATACGGAAACAGCTAGAGGAGCGTTTCTAGTTAGCCTTCGTTTATTTTGTAAATATGTATATACTTTGTATGTTTATTTGTTTTCATTTGTTATTTGTGCACATTTGGTTGGCAGTTAAATTGAAAAATGGTTTTAAATAATTTTATATTGTTAAAATAATTGAATTGCAAGATAACAAACAAATAATCAATATCAATAAGCATAATTGCCACTCAATTCATTTTGAAAATTTAACAGCCGAAAAATTCCAGTTCGTCTGCTGGTTCGCTAAATTCGAACGAAAATTCGACTAAAATAACAGGCAAACAGAAATAGCAGCAAGGCAACACAAAATTAATAAAAATTTCATTGCGTGCTTAGGGGGCCGTCGTTAGCAGCTGTTGAGCCATTGCCACTGCTAAGCGGCTGTTACTGTTAAGCAGCCGATGGTATTTAGCAGACTGTTAAGATGCAGCGGAAATGTAGGTGGCCTTACATTAAAAGAGAATTGTATAAAAGGTTTATACACTTTTGCTGTGTATATATAGGAATATAGGAATTATGCACTTTACATACCCAATAAGTAGACACTCGTAGACTAATATTTTTTGTTGTATATTTAACTTGCGGCTGTTTAAAAAAGTTAAAATACTACACGTACATTTAGTGTCGGCAGCCAGTATATATATGTAAATAGCTTATAGACTATGTATGCATGTGTGTGAGTGTGTGTGTCTATTGCATATACGCACTGTTAACTATTGATATTGTTTAGTTTCCATTTGTAATTTGCATTTTTTTAAATTAAATTTCATGAAATTTATTTTAGTGAATGTGAATATGTTTATATATATTTGTATATATATATATGTGTGTGTGCTTGTGTATACGTAATCAGATGGTAATGCGTGTGTTTGTATGATCTAAAAAATAGTATTACGAGAACTTTGTAATTTAACAATTTGTTTCCAATTTCTTTTTAACCAAATTAAATAACAATTATATTTATGTATGTATATAACCATGTACACAAGTGAATTTATATTTTAGTTTTGTTCATTTTGATTTTCTTGTTAGCCCTGATTTATCATTCATTATTATTATTATAAATATATGTACCTAAACAATTTTCAATTGTATATGGTTATTAAATTGAGCGCCTGTTAGATAAACAACGTTTAGCACGTTTTCATTCAAAAACTTCGTTTCAAAAAAAAAGTGTTAATAATAATAGTACATATAGTGTTGTTTGTATATAATTAGTTTAATAAATGTAGTTTCAAAAATTCCTTTGAAAACCTGCCTCGAAAAATAACACATGCACAGTTCGCTGATCAAGAGTGGCTCGAGCTCTGTTTTAATTATTCTCAGCCTCATTCTCGTCCTCATCATCATCCATTTCAAACATCATGGCATTCTTGGTGTCTGCTTCATTGCGTTTAGTTTCATTTTCGTTGCTGTGATTGTTTTTGTTGATGGAACCATTGGTTAAGTCGAGGCCGCTATCATGCAGCGATATTTTCTTGTTCTCCTTGTCATGAGGATGATTTTTGAAATACTGTGCATTGGTAGCGGTCTGAAAGGTGGAAACGGATCTTTAGTGCGTTTTTGATAAGAATGTAAGTGTATACATTGTACTAAAGAGTATCTGAATTACCCTACAACACAAAGAGGTTATACTATTTACTCGCATTTAAGATTAAAGCCTAACAGCTTTCACTAACATTTCCCCTTTACGCTTAATAGCTTTCAGCAATTGGCACTATTATATTTTCCAACTAATCTCAAGTGACATCATCATTCAATTAAATATTTGCTTAAATTACACGTGAATTGCAAGTAAACACAAATATTCCATTATCATTTAAAGTCGTGACCTTCATTTAATAAATAGTTAAGCTGATTTAACTTAAATCGCAATAAGACTGCTGAAAACTGGTTCAATTTGATGCGCCCTTTGCTTTAGTTTAAATTATCACATTTAGTTGCGAATTAATTTGCAATTTATGTTAAATATTTAACTAGCTTACACGCATAAAAGACTTCAAATTCCAAATTCCAAATTTCTAACCAAACAATAGATAATTTAACACTCCAACTAGACATGGCTGTATATGTAAATCAATATTTGCATTTGCCGCACTAATTCAATTAGCTTCTAAAATCGGCAAATTAACAAGGTGTTGCCAATCAGTTACTATCACAAGTTTACCTTGCGGGCGGGCTGCTCTCCATTCCCGTGTGTGGATTCCACCTCCACGTAATCGACCGAGTCGCCTTCGCTGAGGCGACGCTGTTGAGCGCGCAATTTGCAATCGCGTCGCTTTTGATTCTTCTTTCGTTGGCCCAGTATGCTCGAGTCGAGCCTAAAAATAGATATGCGAATTGTCAATTAGATGGAATTGTTTGCAATTGAAATCATTTTATATTTAGACGCACCTGAACACTTGCTTCATGATGTGATCATTAAATCTAACAGTCTTCTTGCAGCTCTCTGAGAGATTATCCTCATCTCCACCTCGTTCCTCTGGTATGCTACCGAACGATTGTGAGAACCCAGTGCCGGCTGCATCCACTGAGCATGAATACGTTGAAGAGCAATCATCAATGGATGAGCAGCTATCGGAGATGGAGGGATGGGGTCCGTAGCGACTGAAACGCTTCAAGATGCTACGTTGCACGCAGCTGCTACTGAGGCTGCTATCATTGCATTCTGAGAAGCTGCGCTGCTTGCGACGTGGCAGCTTCAGCGTATCCATCGGCTGAGAGACATTTTTAAGGCGCTCTGGAGAAGCATCTTCAGGCTGCTCTTGAACGTGATTATCTTTCGCCTTTTGCTGGTGCAGTTGCAGTTGCTGCTTCTTTTTCTGCTGCTGCTGCTGCTGCACTTGCTCATGATGTTCTTGAGCTAACTTTAGATCCTCACAGGCGGACTCGGAAAGTGATCGTTGCTTTTTGTTGCGCTTGCGCTGCTTCTTATTCAGCTTTTTCTGATGCTGCTGCTGTTGCAAATTTTGCTGGTGCTCATGCAGCAGTTCTACACTGTCCACTGTGTCTAAGGGACCTTTATTTTCTTGAGGTTCGATTGTCACTTCCAGTGCGTGTTCCACATTATTATGATCCATGCTAATCTGCAGTGACTTCTCCGAAACCAAGTCACAGTTCTCAAACTCAGTTCCTACCTCATTGCTGCTATGATGACCAAGCACTGAAAATTCCTTGAGATCATTGCTATCAGGTCCAGCCAGATAGTTAGGCAGCGACATGCAGGGCTCATTCATAGTCAGCCTCAAAACCACATTTTCATCACCAGTATCAACTTCGATATGATCGATATGCAGCTGGGGCTGCACCTCAACGGGCAGCTGCATTAGGAACGCATAGTGGGTGGGATAATAGCCAGTGCCCATGGAGGCGAATTGCAAGTGCAGACTGCGTGCTTGCTGCAATGTCTGCACAGAGTCCGGTTGCACATTCGAGACGTGCAGCACAAAGACAATTACATTGTCCAAAATGTTGCAATTAAACTGGGCGGGCAGCTGATAATGCAGATTACTCTTTAGGAATGAGCGGGGCGAAACAGCGGCAATAGGTGGGACTAAATGGAAGGAAATCAAAGCGAACTGAATTACAACAGATCTATATATATATATATAGTATATATATATGTACTTACATGCATCGGAATCATTTTCTTGGCTCTGCTCACTCAGCTCGACAATAGCTTCCTCATCCTCGACTGGCGATTCGCCATTCGAATTGAGTTCCACGCCGCTATCCTCGCGGCTGAGAATCCGCACAGTATCATGCAGGTTGCGCTCTTGACTTGGCGTGGAACGCACCACGGGCAAAGTTATGCACAAACGTCTGTACTCCGTATCAAAACGTGCATTGCCAGCCTTATCGTTTACAGTGTAGGGCAAATCCAGTTTCAATTTGTATTTGGCGCCATGTCGCTCGCTGAGCAGATAAATCGACTTCTGTGTCACATCCAAATGACAATCCGCCGTTGAGTTGAGCAACGGCAGTTCAATTTCAACAACCAGAGCACGTGGTATTGTCACCTGCAGCTTGGCATCCAGTTCGTCTGTATATTCAGCCAAATCAACGTCATGGCTATGCTTGATGCTGTATTTCGGCACCGCAAATGATGGCACGGGCGTCACTTTTTCCTTAACTGGCAAGATCTTGGCCTGGCCAGCATCAGCCTCAGGTTTCTTTGGGTACATGTGCTCTAGGGGATGCGGTTCCTTCTCCTCGTCTGTTGGATTTTTCGATAATTTACGCAGCACCGTGGGATGGGCCATGCCCTTGTAGTCAAGCTTTGGAAATTTGAGATTGGCACGATCCAAATTTACATGATATTCACGCTCCACGCCATCGAGCGCGGTATCTATGACGCATTGACGGAACTGCGCGTTGCGCTTAGCAAGATGCAGTGCATCCGGATGGAAGACAACATCGAAGACTTTGCAATGCTTGTTACTGGCATCGAGATCGTCGCGTGGCGGTGTCTGGGCCATTGGAATGGACCAGCTAAGACCCTTTCGGCCAGTTTCAGAATTAACTGAAACCTCATTGTTAGGCCGTTCCACAACTGTAGAGCTTGCAATATTAATGAAGCATTTTAGTTCGCCATCAATCGATGATTTAATCACGAAGCCCGGCTGCGGATGTATAAAGGTGACGTCAACGCCGCGCTCCTTTTCCAGCTGTGTTATCTCTTGCTCGTAGATCTTACGATTCTCTGGATCCTGGACTTCGTCAACGTAATCGAAAAACAATTTGCGAAACTCCTCGTTCTTCAAAGCTTCGCGTATTCGGTCAAATTCATCAGTACTAATATCCAATTTTTCATTACCATGGATCTTTGAGTGTTTATTACGAGTGGAAGCGGACATAGCTTCAGATCCTCAAACCTGCACTCACTCTCACTAGCACTAGCACTATCTCACTCTCACTCTCACTACTGCTTTTACAAACTCGCGCAATTCGGCAGAGATTTCCTTTGGAACACTTGTTGCACTCTTTAAATAATTTTACAACTAACAAGAACTAACACGATTAACTGTTGTTTACTGATGTTTTTTTCGTTCGAGTGGATTCTGAAAAGAGATAGAAAGAGAGAGTTAAATGGTAATTTAATAAATGACAGCTGATGCAATAACTGGCGAAATTGATTATCGATAGAAGCCGCATTGTGACGTATGCACTTCAAGAAACACACACATGCATGAATACACCTATATAAAATCGATGAGTCGCTTATCTCTCAATTGTCGTAGGTTTTTAACTCGCTATAGGCAAAGCCCGTGCGTAATCTTCATTCTCTGCATTTAATAACATATACATATGCTTCTCCTTTTATATAAATATAAGACGACATTCAATATTCAGACACACAGCTCTTGGTCTCTCAATCGCATACGGTTACACTCTGTCTCTTTCTGTCCTCTCTCAGTAAATTTTGCCGGTTGCAATTTAGTTTTTTGGCAGCACCGAAATGTGTAATTACATAGATTATGTAATGGACACGAAGGCGCACAGAATATAGACATAGTGGGGCTATCGCTTTATTATTATTCTAGCTAAAACGTACTGCGTAGTTTGCCGTTTTGTTGTGACCGTCGTTTCGTATCAGGGTCTGTATGTATTTGTATGTGTCTGTGTGATGTGTGGATGTTTGCGGCGCGAGCGAACTTTTACGAATGAGCATCGAAACGCCGGCAAATGTTTTGCGGACAGCAAGAGGGAATGGAGGGAGCGACGATAGATAAGCAGAGGCAGCTAACCAACCACTTGCCCTCAATTGTTTGTGTCTGCGTTTTATTGTTGTTGTTTAGCGATGTTCTGTATATAAATAATGTGTGTGTGTAATCTGTACGCGTTGTTAGTGTTGCGCAGCACTGACGAGATGGCTTGTCAAAATACACGTATATCCAGATAAAAAGGACAATAAAATGATAGAAAAGGGACAACAACAGCAAACAAGCACATGTTTAGGACCCTCGGCGACTGCGTGTGTGTGTGTGCGTGCATGTTTGTGTGTACACGCGCAAAAGAAAATGTGGAAAAATTATTACAGTTACGTGACCAAGGGGAGCACATGTATGTGTATATATAAAATGCGGCGTTTGATCAATATCGATACGAATATGAAATTGATTGATTTTCTGCATAAAGTTTGTGGCCCACTAGATGAAACCGGTCCCAAATAAACCAGCAGCCGTTTAGCACACGCCCACTGAACAGGATTTGCAGAGAGAATTGCACAGGCGTCGTTGTAAGATAAGGTTGACAAACCAAATGAACTTGAACACAATAAGGAAAGTCAATGACCACTAAGCAGCTTTTACAGCAATCACAATTTGAGAAAAAAAAAAACAATAGAACTAGTGCACACACAAATGCATTTCTACTAGCAACTACACATACACACGAGCAAAGGTACACATAGGTCAAACTTACCTAAAAAATATATGTATGTGAATACATAAGTGTATGTACTTAGATATTTATTAAAAGTAGCCAATTTATATTTATATTATATTTTTTCTGTTAAAATTACTGTGATATTGTCTTTGACGTTTGTTTAGATATTCTAGAAACTTTTCAGCTGATCAATTTTTTCCAGGCGAAGCAAGCTGAGGACCGGCTCAGTGTGACCTGAACAACATAACGACGAGTGGTTTAAATAGTAATCTTTAACAGTATTTGGTATTATCCTAACAGTTTTTAGTATGGGCACCCAAAATTACTGCTGTTAACATTATAATTAAATGTAAACGTATTTTTAGGGTAACCTCAGCCATCGATGTATATCTGTTGGTGTTGGTTAACGTTGAGCTGTTAGTGTTGGGAAAAAAACAATGGCTATGGAGTCAAATTTATTTTTGGTTTTTCTGTTGTCATTTTTTTTATATAAAAATGCAAAAGGTGTGTTAAAATATGTGTCTAATTGTCACATAATGTATGTGAAACATAAACATTTGCATATAAACACGAGTGTATGACTTACATAGCGGCATATTTCTTCGAAAAAATGATGCCTACGCGCTGCTTATTTGTTTGTGTGTATATGTGTGTGTTTGGACGACAATTTGTTTTCATATGCTACTGTTCTGACCAATTGCGCCGCGAATAAAGACAAGTATTATACAAAAATGTCACGAAGTGCAGTGAACAACATGAAAATAATGCCCAATTGTAAAATTATGTATTATATAAATGCATAAGAATGCTTATGTGGGCGAGCATAGCATAAAAGTGCATTTATAATCTACACACACACATACGAATACAAACACAAATACATACATATGCTAGCATTTGATTTGTGTATACAAAAATGTGTTTGCGTATGTGTGCGTTGAGTATTTCTAGCCAGTTGCGTGTATATGTGAGACTCATTGGCCGTGTTGTTGTTCTTGTTGTTCTTGCAGCGGAAATTAGTGGACTCTTGTTAGATGAGCAACAGGATATGGATATGGAATTGCCGCCGCACATTAACGGAAAAGAATTTCCAGCTATACCACAAAACTCTTTGTTAACGCATCCGAGGTAATTAAGTTGAATTAAACGCATCCTCCATTCACAGTTAATTGCTAAAGCAATACAATTAACAACTATTGCTACACCCTTATATCCCAACACCCTTAAATTTATGACCTACCAATCTATTTACACGCTGCACTCCTTAATAGAAGACATGTTAAGAGTAAGCGACGCATGAAAAGAAGGTAAAATTCATTTGGCCGCCTGTTTCATTAAGCTTCCCTCTCACACACACACACATACAGCCACAGACACACATACAAATTGTATGTTTTGAATTTTTTGCTAATCTGATACATTTTACATGCACAGATTAAAATGTTTTGCGTGTGAACCACCCTGTCTCGATCCGAATCAACACGCCCATACATGCCAGAATGCCATACAGGTGAGTAAATAAGGCCTGTCTAATCTATCTGATTTTTCATTTCTTGCATTTCAATTGCAGTGCTGGAAATCACGTACACGTGATGCCGTTGGTCAGGAGCTAGTGTCGCGCGGCTGCACCAAATCCCAAGATCAGCTGCCGTTGATTTGTAATCAGAATGCTTTGAATAAGTTCAACGGCCCCTCGAAACGCAATACAGCAAAGTTCATAAATATCGTTTGCTGTGCAAGCGATTTTTGCAATGATGGCGAATTCCCCGAGTTGCCACCTTTTGTCCGCGGCGATGTGGTGATCACAGCCGACAGCAGCAACATAAGCAAAATGGCCGCTGCAATTTTGGGACCATTTATAATAATCACACTTATGGGCGTTGTGGCGGTGTACTTTATGCGTCGCAGCCATCGCAAGCGACTTGCGGCAACGCGCATTAAACAGGATCCGGAATCGTATTTGGTTAACGATGAATTGCTGCGCGCCACTAGCGCCGGGGATAGTACTTTGCGTGAATATTTGCAGCATTCGGTTACTTCCGGTTCCGGTTCAGGACTGCCATTGCTGGTGCAACGCACGTTGGCCAAACAGGTGACATTGATTGAGTGCATTGGTCGTGGCAAGTACGGTGAGGTGTGGCGCGGCCATTGGCACGGCGAAAGTATTGCCGTCAAAATATTTTTCAGTCGTGATGAGGAGTCTTGGAAACGTGAAACCGAAATCTATAGGTTAGCTAACACTTGGAATTACTATGAGCTGTAGTTAACTATTTTCAACTCTTTCAGCACTGTTTTGCTGCGCCACGAGAATATCCTAGGCTTCATTGGCTCTGACATGACCTCACGTAACTCCTGCACCCAGCTCTGGCTGATGACTCACTACTATCCGCAAGGCTCGCTCTTCGATCATCTGAACCGCAATGCACTTAGTCATAATGATATGATTTGGATTTGCTTGTCGATTGCAAATGGACTCGTGCACTTGCACACTGAAATCTTTGGCACTGAGGGCAAGCCGGCAATGGCACATCGTGATTTGAAATCGAAGAACATATTGGTCACTGCCAATGGAACTTGTGTTATAGCTGACTTTGGTCTAGCAGTTACGCACTCGCATGTCACAGGACAATTAGATTTGGGACATAATCCAAAAGTGGGCACTAAGCGGTATATGGCACCGGAAGTACTGGATGAGAGGTAAACAGACTATAGCTAAGTAACTATTGAACAGCTAAAGTAACTCTTTGTCCTTACTCTTTAGCATTGACATGGAGTGCTTTGAGGCACTACGTCGCACTGATATTTACGCCTTTGGCTTGGTTCTTTGGGAGGTTTGTCGCCGCACTATTTCGTGTGGTATTGCTGAGGAGTACAAGGTACCCTTCTATGATGTGGTGCCCATGGATCCCAGCTTTGAGGATATGCGCAAAGTTGTCTGTATTGACAACTATAGACCATCCATACCTAATCGCTGGAGCTCAGATTCTGTGAGTATAATAACACTATAAAGATTATGCTACAATTGCTAATTTTGCTTTCGCTTACAGCTTCTGGCTGGTATGTCCAAGCTAATGAAGGAATGCTGGCATCAGAATCCGAATGTTCGTCTGCCAGCATTGCGCATTAAAAAGACTATACATAAATTAGCTTCCGTTGATGAGAAGATACGTTTAGACTTTGATGAAGTATGCGTTTAGTAGTTTGTTTAATGTTTTAGGAACTTAAGTTTTATTTTTAATTAGTCTTAAGCGACATTAGTTGAGTTCATTTTGCTAGAAGGCTAAGTTTCATTCATATGCATTATATATTGAAGTTTTATTTTTCATTGTACTCTTTTTCGTTAGTCTGTAACTGCATGAATCGATATTTAATTTTGTGCCTTGCAAATTGCCTTAAATGTATAAAGAAGAAATCTAACTTGACTAGAAGTATCAACTTTATAAGTTATGCGAATCGCCTACATTTATATAAACTTTAATCATTTTCATTTCAAGTGCCATTACAATTAAGAATTGGTAAACAACAAAACGCAAAAACATTTTTATATATATTTACCTCTAAGCTCACTTTTTACGTCATACACCTACGAACACTGAACACTGAACGTCAACAGCTATCTAAGCAGCTATATTATTTCTTTTTTCTTATCAAGCTATGATAGAGTTATTGAGAATGTAAGCAATTGGCGACACATACACGAAAACAACTAACAATCAAACACACTCAACACATACACGAAACATATTGTGCACCTAGTTAAGTGAATAGTTCCCAACTACATATAGAAGTTATATATATATATATATATACATATATACATATATATATTTATCTATATACAATACTTTGTATACTGTACAAATGAGCGCTAATTAAGTTGTATATGTAGTTTACAAATGACTTAAGATACTATCAACAAAAAAAATACAACCTAATTGTTAAGTAAAAATAAAATAAACAAATTCTATAATTTGTCAAGTGAATCCATGGCGAATATCGTTTAGACTCGGACGGCGATAATATAAATTACTGCACTTATATATTTAGCATCTCTTCTATCTTTTCATAGATGTCTTTCGATTATATTACCAATTCGTAATATATAACATAGAACTTTATTTTCAAAAACAAATTTAATAAGATATATGCTTTCAACATATATGAGCATATAATTCAATGTTTTAGTGTTTAAAAAATGTTCGAGAAAATTTGGTCGACATCTTTTCCGTCTACGCTTCGTGTACACTTCAGATGAATTATAAATGTTTCCATGTTGAATACTCCTTTAACATCTACATGTCATGTTCCTTTTCTGTCAGCAATCTGAAAGTCTCGTTGTTCTGCTCGTCGAGGAATAGCAGCTTGAATATGTCGTTGAAGAAATCGGGATAGTAATCGCAAGCGCGTTTGCAATCGGGTGTCCAGTTGATCTCCAATAGCTTTGGCTGCATGCTCATCTGGTTCTCCTCGTCAGTCTGGCCCGTCCAGGCCAGCATTATGTCTGCTGCATAAACTGCTCTCGACTGAGCACAAGGCGCTAAACCACGAGGCGGTAGCTCTTGGCTAGCGCACTGTAGCACCTCGTGCAGCATGTCACAGATACGATCCTCCACTGCCGCCCAATTGTGTTGAGGATACTGCTCTTGCCACATGTCCAAGAAGTCATCGCATTGTATGTGGTGCAGCTCTGCCTGCTCCTGGTAATTCATTACCGTATAATGCTTCTCGTAGTCGTCAAAGTTGTCCAAGGAGAAGGCGTGATTGGCAAAGCGCAAAAAGAACTTGCGATGTACGTAAGCCTCTAGAGGCTTCACTCGCTTCACCAGCAGCACGTAGCGCACATCAAATTTGACTTGGGCGTTGAGCTCCTCGCGTTTGAACAGCACAGGATTTTCAATATATTTCTGGGCTATCTTTGGTCCGGTTGCAGGCAAACGCACAATTTGCTTAATATTATTTGTGATGTAGGTATCGAGACCACGTGCGAGATTCCAGGGCTTGATAATCCAATGGTTATCCAAGCCCTTTGCTGATCTTCGTTGATAATAAGCCACAAATTCACGCAACTCAGTGGATAAATTGTATGTGGTAGGCAACCAGGCAGGGTAAGTCTCCAGCGTGGCAACATTGTGATGCTCCAGGGCAGCACGACGCCCTACAATACCCAGCAGATCCTTAATGGTTATGACGTACTCAAAGGGAAACTGATTTATGAATTTGTGTGGCGTTTGTCTAGCGAATTCTCCGAAATTCTTGAAATGACAGGTGAGCCAGAGCACATCCGCCTCCTCTCTGTTGTCGACTAGCATAAATTCAGGCGCTGTTAAATGCTCACGTATCAGATTGTATTGAGCAAAAACCTTTAGGGGATCACAACGGACAGGAGGCGTAGATCCAGGCAATGTCTCCTCCTCCCGTGGATATGTTTCTGGTATGTGGCCACTGGCAAAGTAATCAGCACTGGGTTCCACCTGCAGAAAGCTTTCCTCACTCAAGTCCGTCTCCTGCCAGGGCAGAAGCAAGGCGGAGCGCTGCGGTGCATCATTAGACACATATTCAGCAAAATCTCGAGTCACTGGAGTACCCTGAACCGAATCCTTTATGGGAAATAGCACGCTGTAAGTGGTTTGAGTTGTGAGGTACAGCAGCGGCACCAAACGAAAGTTGGGCTCATCCGAATGATTGACAGCGGAACCAACCTCATCCATCACATACCAAATGGGCAGACGTTCCTCGTCGGTCAAACCTTCTCTAGCAATGGAGTAGGCATGACAATATCGCCATATGCGTCTCAATATCTTATCGATGCGCTGCTCATGCTCCAGATCCACGCCCATGATGGCGGACAAGCGATCCGTCAGCTGTGGATAATGCAGCAATTGCTGTCGAGCTGTTTTGAAGCGAAATGTCCAGACATGGTCTATTAAATATATAGCCTGCGGATCACTTGCCTTGATGCCATGCTCTCGTGCTACTTCTAAAGCAAATACTGGTTTTGTTTTGTCGTCTTCCTCCTCCTGCTCATCCTCGTCGTAGTCGATGAGCATTAGCTGCAGAGCTTCGCCAGCATCAAAGTTGTCCATGCAAAGTTTGCGATAGAGTGCTGGCCAGAAATGTACAGGAACTCCTGAGGATTCTAGTTGAGGTTTGTGCAGAGCCACAAATTCATTATACTTGTTAATTCCATCCATGTCGCCTGCGAAGGTACAAAAGGCACTGCCTCAGCCCGGCTAATTCACATGGTTGGTATATTTTTATATTTTGACATTTTAGTACAATGAAAATATACTAGCTGGTAAGTACTAAAAATACTAAAGACCAGGACTAAGAAATATTTGAATTTCGCAATTATTTCAATCGCTATCGATAGGCGGCAAAAAAAGCAAATTTTTAACAGTTTGAGAGTAATAGAGCTGAACGTATTTGCTGACTCCCTGCTAGTTCAGCTGCTGAACAGAGTTGGTATTTTTACAACATTTACATTAATATTAACAATCACAAGTTTAGAAAATCTGTATAAATTGTAAAAATCACAGATTCTTTTATTCAGTAATTGTGCACTAATTAAGTGATTGAACTGTGTAAGTATTTTTTTTTCAAATTGCGCCAGTAATTTGTAAAGAAAATTTAATACCAAGCACAGAACATATGTCAGGGTTGCGGTTTGCCGAACAGCTGTTGCTCCAGTCAACTTTTTGGTGAGCACATATAAATAAATGACAACAATATACAATTTCACCATTAGACAAAAATTACACAAAAGTGGCGGCTGCACATACACACAACCATACAAAAAACCCACACAATCAGCAAGCTAGCTTAGAATAAAAATTCATAGTCATCATAACTCGACACTAACCAGGCCTTTTTTTTGACCAAAAAAGGGTTAACTTGGCCTATGTAAGATTATCAAAATTCGCGCAAATGCTGCAACGTCGCAGAAATTTGCTAGTATTAATTGTCATTCTTCTGGCAAACATTCAAATTTAACAACTGCAAAGCATCTGAGAATATATACTAAGCGAAAAAATACAATCAAATGAGTGGCACACTGGCATTGCCAAACCAAGCCGAAGGCCCTGCAGATGCTCCGCTAGAGGCTCGGTCAATGGACGTTGAGGTAAGCAAATTGAATGAAAAAGGATTTCGAATAACTTTGATACATTGATATTAATGCCGAAAAGGTCAAACAACAAACTGTCAATATCAAGAAATATGATATACAGAAGTTTGTACTTATATACATACATACATACTTACATACATACCTACATACATCCATACATTCTAACATACATACATAGCTAACTGCGCAGTTTCTGTGGGCGCGATCACTGTGTCCGTTAGGTAATCCACGCCCATTTGGCGGCACTTCCGCGTTTGCCATAGAATCTATGACGTATGCAGATAAACATATAAATGTATGTATGCATGTGTGAGTGTGAGCAATTACTGTTCGCCTATATATGAGTATAACAATATTCCTTGTTCGTCAGCTAACAAGTAGAACAGTATCTATAGGGCATAATAGTATAAGAGTACATACCAAATTTAAGTGGTTATAAACTCTTGTTGTTTTATGTATATATTCGTGAGCTTTATCAACATATATATATTTGCCTATGTCTAATCATATTAGATATTTTTCTAATCACACATGGGAAAACGAAAGCTGCTTATTTTACAACAAAATTCCCTTTTACATTTATGTAGAAAAACAATTCGATAAATTAGATAATTGGAGCACACAACACATTTGTCATAACGGATAATCATGTTTTATGCGTAGTCAAATTCCAGTATTTAATTTTTATGCAAAAATAATATTTTAGGTTTCGAAAACTAACGGCTTTAGCCTTTGGCAATGGTGGCATAACTGGACAGCATCATCGCCAACTATGCTACGGGCCGTAGAGAAGAAGATACTTTCATATCTGAAGTTGCCCTACCGCGGCTTCTTCGTGGACATTGGTCCAGCTGTGGGCGATGCGGATAAGATTTGGACGGTGAGCATGAATACAGAGTCTAAGGAGGTGCCCCTTGTATTGCTGCATGGTCTTGGCGCCGGCGTTGCCTTATGGGTTATGAATTTGGATGCCTTCGCCAAGGATCGCCCGGTCTATGCAATGGATGTACTTGGCTTCGGACGAAGCTCCAGACCACTGTTTGCCAAAGATGCACTGGTCTGTGAGAAGCAATTTGTGAAATCGGTTGAGGAATGGCGTCGCGAAATGAATATAACTGATATGATACTGTTGGGTCACTCCATGGGTGGATTTATTGCATCCAGCTACGCGCTGAGTTACCCGGAACGTGTTAGACATTTGATACTGGCCGATCCATGGGGATTTCCCGAGAAACCCGCCGAATCGACCAACACTAAACAGATTCCCTTGTGGTTACGTGCGATTGCACGCGTTTTAACGCCATTGAACCCACTGTGGGCCTTGCGGGCTGCCGGCCCGTTTGGCCAGTGGGTGGTTCAGAAGACACGTCCCGATATTATGCGCAAGTTCCAGCATACCATCGAGGAGGACATCAATCTCTTGCCCCAGTATATACATCAGTGCAATGCCCAGCGACCGAGTGGTGAATCGGCATTTCATAGCATGATGCAATCATTTGGCTGGGCCAAGCATCCAATGATCCATAGGATCAAGGATGTACGTAGCGATATACCCATCACATTCATCTACGGCTCACGTAGCTGGATTGATTCTGCTTCTGGTGAGAAAATCAAATCTCAAAGGGGCACTAATTTGGTTGATATTAAGATCGTGACCGGTGCCGGGCATCATGTGTATGCAGATAAGCCAGACGTATTCAATCGCTACGTCAACGAGACCTGTGATATATACAAAGTCAATAAAATTGAGCGCCAGCTGCAGCAGTTGCCGCCGGTGGTTGAAGCGATACAGATAATCCGTGACTCAACTGAATCGGATGAGGAGCACGACATGCCAAATTTGAGGGCAGCGGCGGTATCCGTGGAGATCAAACCACAGACGGATGCTGTCCAAGATGTTACATTCACAACATCAAAAGATGCTTCAAAAGGTGGAGAGGCAGCTGCAGCAACATCGGCAGAAGCAACTACAACCGTAACAAAGACAAAGACCAACAAATTAGATTTGGCCGATGTGAAACGAAAATGAGAGAAAGCGCAATGAATATTCTTGGCGGCCTTTATATTATTATAAATGTTGCTTTACCAATAATGTGTCTATTATTATTATTTTTTTTATTTTTAACTTTATTATTAGCCTGTTTTGCCTAGTATTAAATGTTGTCTTATCTTAGTTCTTTAGTTTGTTATTCTCTATTGTCATTCAAGTCCATTCACACAATCTTTCGCAACCCAACGTTGCTGCGTGATTCAGTACTCGAATCTGATTAATTACGCGTGCTATATTATTCTGAACAAAGTTCAAGAGTTTCATTTAGTAATTCTGATAAATCATTTATTCTGTATTCTTTTCACAACTGCGCCTAAAAGCTCGCTTTGGCTAAACAATTCATTCCGTATCAGGCGTTTGACGTCGGTCCAACTCACAGCGGCAGTCATCGACCTAACCCAGTGGCCTAGACAACAAAATTGATTTAACTTTTAGCTTAGCTAATCACAATTATTCATGCTTTGCAATCTACAATAATATGGAAATGTACTTAAAAAATTATTTAAAGTTTTTTGATAAGCAAAAGCTGTGAAAACTATTTTTATTCACTGAGTAATGTAGATCTCTCACTGAATGGCAATTTAGCTATGTCTAAATCGAGCACTCATTATCTTAACTTATTTGCTCAAATTTTCAATCGCTGTCTCACTTTTTGCCGAATTGCTTTCTCACTTTATTTTCACTTTCTTTTATATATTTACTCTCTTGCATAAAAGTTGGCTCTCTTATATAACGGTTTGCTCTCTTGTATAATAGATTGCTTTCGTTCACTCTCTTAAATAACAGTTCGTTTTCTAACGTTGAGTTCCCGCGGGTTTCTCTTTTGCATGTTAGCTTCCTTCTATAAAACGACTCGAACTCTGTCTCCTACGTATCAGTTTTCTCGCTCATATATAGTTTTTCTATTATAGCTGACCCAGCTGTTTCATATATAATGGCTCGTTATCTTGTTCAGTTCTCTCCACCTCTCACCCCATATCGCCTCTCTATGCAATTTTCAAGAAATGCATCTAAACGTCACAAATTTTAATGAACATATGTATAGAAACTAAATTTAAGTGCCTTGTTGCATAGTGTTAAATATATTATATTATATTTACATGTGTATTTATTTAACAGCTCATTTTCCAGATTTTGCACTATCAGCAAAGCTCATTGTTATAAGCGCTTGCCATATAAACAATCATACTTATGTGTATACAAAATAACTGCAGCAATTAAGTGTATATAGTGTATATGATTCCTATATCAGATCAGTTTAATTTACGACTTGTCGTCATGCAATGTGAGCACAAACAGATTGGCTCTCTTTCGCTGGAATATACATTGGAAAGTTAATGTATATGTATATAAGAAGTAAACAAAGCTGTCGACTATATACAAAATTATCAAAGAGAATTAAAAAAACAAAATTAACTTGCCACTTGATAAGCCAAGGTTCGTGACTAACGAAAGCAAAACTCAGACAACAAAGACAAAGACATTTTGTTTACATAAAATAACATATTTTAATGGACTATAATTATTATGTTTAATTTGCTTCTTGAATTGTAGCAAAATCTTTCTAGCAATATGCATTTTTTCACATGTTATAGATTACAATTATAAATGTTAAGTTGCCTTTTGCATTAGGTTATAAGTGTATATAATAGAATTGATAAAAATGGTTTGATAGACTGCTCTACTTGGCATCGGCAAAGCCAACACGGTCATTGCCCATATCGAATTCAGTATAGTATTTGCCAATGAAGACATCGCCCAGAATCCAGAGGGGACCATTTGGTGGTGGTATATCCATACCCATGAAGCCGGACAGACAAATAGTTTTTCCCATTTGAGCAACGCGTAAAATATAATCCTTCCCTTCCAGCTCAAACGTTTTGCCGCCCAGTACGAATTTGATGACAGGCAAATTGGGTATTAAGTCACAAGAGACGATATACTGGAAGAGTTAACAATTATGTATATATATGAACAGTAAACAGCAAGAAGCATTCTTACCTGTCCACCCACAATGGGTGTGCCTCCGATAGCCTGATTGATTGAGGTGGCTTCGGCAACAGGTGCTGCGATTAGCGAAGTGCCCGTATCAGCAATTACCTGACAGCCACCTTTGCACAGCTCCACATTATTTATTTGAGCGGAATCCATTTGGATTTGCCAGTAACCTTTGCGTGTTACAGGCAAATAGGTGAAATCGCCCGTATAATGATTGGTATCAGAGCCGCCGAAAATGATTTCACCTCCTTCGGGCGCCGCGGGATCACGATTCAAGTAGAATGAAAACACCGGCTGCGCGATTAAACTCTGTTCGAACATGCTGTAAAATGGTGGCTTAACGCCATCCACAGATATCGAACTATAGCCCAATCCAAGGATACCATCGAATTTGGCGGCGACAAAGACCAAACCAGGTTCACTCAAAGCCTCAGCGAATGTTTGACCCTTGATATCCAAGCCGGCAATGTTGACTATGTCGCTTGATAAGTAACCAGACAAACTGCCCGAGCCATAGTGTATATCGAATGCGGTGCCGTTCTTACTGTATGTCGACGATTTGCTGGCATCGTATTTGTTGTGCATCAAGCAAGCGATGTTGGTCAGGTGACATTTTTTGGATGGCACCCATAGATTGGAAGAGCCTGTATCGAAAACTACTTTGAAATTTTGCGGCGGTGAGCCAATCGATATAGGGCCATAGTATTGGGCATCCAGATAATTGGAGAGCGGTTCGGGAGCAGCGACGGCGCCATATTTAATGCGCAATTGATGCAACTCGGTGCCGACTTCTGCAAAATGCCGGCGTGCAGATTGGAATTTGATTAACGGTACTCGCAAGAGTTGCGGTTCCACTGCCAAGGCTACGGCTAGGCAAGCAGCAATTAGTAGCAATGACTTCTGCATGACTACTGCAAGCGATTGAAATGTTTTAAGTTGTAAAATTCACTCTTGACTGATTGGATTTTAACCGTTTGTGTTGCACCTAATTAAATATTTGCGGCGAAGCAGTGAAAATGATTCAGCAAACAAAATGTGCTAAATTTGACCAAAAATACCAGAAGTCGTGTAACCAGGGATGAATCGCCCTTAATGTTTAATAATTGAATTTGCTCTTTGACTTATAAATACTTGATCAATTTTATTTTGGGTTAAATCTGAATCGATGTTACATCGTTTGTTTTCAAAAGGCTTTGTAATTGTAATATATATATACATATATACACACATGTATATATATATATATATTTGCAATAAATTGTTGAATTTTATCTAATCTCTTAACTTATGGTTACTGTTTTGAGTGTGCTAGTAATCGTTCTCTGTGCATTTCAAAGGGTATCACTATAAGCAACCATTTTCCAACATTGATAATTTTGACATAGATATATAGATGTTTCCTTCTTTAAAATGCATTATAAATTGCTTAAAGTACCGACTTGCAAAATATACTTTATTTTTATCCTGATCAGTACTTGTAGCGGTAAATAGCTACACCAGCAACTCCTATTAAAATGGTGCCCATTAAAAATCCGATTAGTTTTAACTGTAAAAAAAAGAAGGGACATTGACAAATAAGGAATATCATCAATGCTTTGTCTTTCAGCTTACTTTTGAATTATCTACCAAGGGTGTTTTCTGTCGAACATTGGTCTTTTGCTCCATTTTCTTAGCTTGACCTAACATTTTCTGGTACATTTCTTTTTCGTTGTGCTCATCTCGGCGTGCCTTTATAAAGAGTCTAGCCAAATCTGATTGTACAGATTTATTATCCGGCTCCAGTGTCGCAACCTTCTGCAACAGCTTGATTGCCCCTTGCGTATCATTCTTGCCCTCGAGCACCTGATAAGGAACGAATGGGAGATAAAGATTTGTTAAGTGCCACGTACACAATAAAAGTATTCAACATACTCTGCCCTTGCGATATAGGGCCTTGGGGTTATTGGGCTGGCAACGTAGCACATGTTCCACGGACTGCAATGCAGCATCGTAAGCTCCAACTTTGATCTGAGCCATTGCCAAATTGTTATAGACAATAAGACGATCTTCTAATAGACTTTGCAAATCACTGTTGGATAGCTATGGAATAAATTTGATTAATATATGTGACATCAATAACATTATTGATTAGTTATTCATTGTTCGTTACCTCTAGATCTTCTTTGCCAAACTCAGCATCGGGATCACCATCACGATTATCCAAATAGTCCAGCGCACGTCTATACAGATGAATTGCATTGTTGTATTCTACACGTTTGTAAAAGAAATTAGCACGTTCTTTTTTCCTCGCACTGCATTTCCAAAAACAATTTATATCAATATCTTTTTAAGTATTATCTGTTATCTATTATCTATTACCCATATTTACGCAAAACATCGAAAGATTTCAAATCAACGAAGTCCTCAAACTTAACGTCAACCAGTTCTAATTCATAAATCAGCTGCAATTTAAAGGGTTTATGTCTTGTTTACTTGAATCGGATTATAAGCAAATCATTTCACTTACATTAGTGTTGGGTGGTATAACAGTTTCTGGTGGATTTTCAGTTTTAAGACCTATGGTGCCGTAGCCGAAGCGTTGATCGATGCTAACTTGTGCTACTTCGCCAACATGCATCATTGGCAGCACCATATCTAAGCCTTGGACCACCTCGAAATCGCCCACATGACATTGGAAGCGCTCTTCCTTTTCTACAACGGTGCCATCTTCCAACTTACCCGTATATGTGATCGTTACCAGATCACCGCGATTGGGTCTTTTGGCATTGGCTGGTGCCTTTTTAATAATACGCTTAATTAGCTGTTTATTTCCCAAAATATCGCATTCGATTTCATCATCCATATCTTCATCTTGCTGCTTTGTATTAACTTCGCTATTGCTACTACTTTGCATTGGAGCCGATTCGGCTTCGGATGTTTCGGATTCATCCACATTGGAATGGGTTGACCGAATATCGTTGGTGTCATCGGCATTGGTTAGATCTTCAAAAGAGCTGCTGCTAGATTTTTCGATGTCCATATTAAGCTGACGGATTTATGCGTAAAACGTTGAAACATGGAACAAAGGGCAAAAAACCCAACCAACAAATTTGGCTACAGCCATCGATACTCACTCTAAATGTAGTTCAATTTGGGACTAATTGCGGATAAACAATCAGTGGCGTTAACTGTTTTGTAAGTGCTAAACTTTCCAACCGTTTGCGCACTGAAACGACCCAACAATTTTAGAAATTAACTGACTATTTGAAATTATACAGTAAAATTCAGGTTTGGGAATGATTACTTTCACAAGTACATTTGACATTTCACATTGCCAGGGTTGCCAACATCACATGATCAAAGTGTCATGGGCATGTATTTACATATTTTTTTTTTCAATTTGTTGATATAGATATTTATATTATACCAACGGATGACATAAAATTATTTTGTACTTGTGGATGGGTAATGATACAACTGAAACTTGTCTTAAAAACACTATGCTTAATTATTTGGTTAATTTTGATTTTTGATATCGTGGCAACGCCAATCAGCTGTTGCGTTCTGTTTTATATTCTACATATGCTTTGTTTGCAACAACATTTATTGCTATTTTAAATAATGGGCAAAAAAAATAAAGGTGGCGGCAAAAAAAGATGGAAGATCCATAAGCACCGCTCTAAAAAAGCCAAACACCAATCGTCGCTAAAAAAAAGAACTTCAATATATCAATCGGCATCAAAAACAAACACGTGCCCAGCGGCAATGGGAAATGAGGCGCTTCCAGGAGCCTCTTGTTCCAGCGCAGCTCGGGAGATGGAAGTGAGTATTGAATTGCAGTTAATTATTATTAGTTATGTATTAGTTAACTTGTCGCGATTATTGGGGGTTCTTTGTGATTGTTATTAAGGGGCGGCCGACGCAGTTGCTGGAAATCATATAGCGCATGCGTCAGTCCCCCAAACACCAAAGAGAGAACGCTTTTTTTTGGGTGAAAAACTGCGCGAGTTCCAGAACAAAAATTTCTAGTAAATTGTATCAGTGCAAATTTGTGAAACGAAAGTGGCCAAAGAGTGTAACTAAATCCACCTAAAAAACTAATAAATAAAACAGAAATACTTTGAAAATGGAGCAAATCTGGCGTAATATCTGTGCTCACTACGATGTTCCGGAGGATGTGACCAATGTCTGGTTTGCACGCATCGAACAGCATCTGAGCGAAGATAGTCCAACTCGAGCCTACCACAACTGGCAGGAGATGATGCAGCGCAAGCATGAGCATCTATCCGACTGTGCACCGAGCATTGCTTTGGCTGCCTTCTTTCAATATTATCACTTCGATGGCAATCGCAGCTGTGTGCAACAGAATTGCGAAGTGTTCGAGGAATTTTGTCGCGATGCTATGATTGAGGATGTGAGTAGATGTATAAGATATAGATTGTATCATTATTGATGAAATTCGAAATGATGTAATGCAGGAGCATGCCAAGTCGCTTGTCTGCAATCTGTTGGGTCGCAAGACGCCTGACAATGAGGTCACCTGGTCGCATGATGACGAAGCCAATTTGTTGCAGGATGTTGATTTGGTTGTGTTGGCGTATGTACTACATATAAGATCTTTAAATGTGTCCTGTATCCAAAAGATTTAGAAATGTTTGATATAAGCAATGCCTGTCTCAGTGCAACTTTTTGGCCACGACTGCCAGCTTGTCTGTCTGCCTATATATAGTATTGGCTATTAAATCTGAGCAGGACAAGGAATTATACTAGTTTATGTGTCCTTATATACAGTGATAGCTCTAATGGGTGGATAATCAAGATTCTATTAATATCCTTCGGTAGACTCCATCCGACTCCCTGAAGAATTCATTCAAAAGGGCCAGTTAGACAACTGGTTGTTAGCTGGATACAGGGCAGTTGCCTAGTCGTGCACGCTCGACTAGCTCATGCGCTAAGAAGAGTCTAAGCTCTGCTGTCATCTGCAGTGCTCCGCCAGAGGAATATAAACACTATACTCAACTGTTGCGTCATGAATACGCCAATCTGGATGATGAGAGCTATAAAATGATGCGTGTCAAGGTCTTGGAGACTCTGTTGCTAATACCATGCATATATGCAACAACAGAATACCATGAGAAGTACGAGGAGCTGGCACGTGCCAATATACGGAATGAGATACGTGAGCTTAAGCAGTAAACGGTTTGGATGGAAAGTAGTTAGTCAACGATTAGGGATCAGGAACTCCCAGTCAACAGTATACAATATGCAGCTTTTGTCTACAAATTTGTGTGTGTGTTACCTTTTTATATAACTAAATGTTGTCAAGAAACTGGATTTTTTTCTAATCTAATTGATGAAGGATGTGGACATTGAGAAGAAGCCGATTTATCTAAAGTGTATCATTCGAGTGATATAAACGATCTTAGCTAGCTGAATTTACAAGCGATGCGCCAATCATATTTAAGTTAATGCCATTCCTCTGTTAAATGTCTAACCATAGTGGTATTTTAATCAAAATAAATGTAAACTGATATTGCCATACGTAAGCTGTTCATGCGATTAAATAATAAAACTCGATGTATATATAATCAAAATCCGATCAAATTGTAGTTTTATTCAAAAAGCACCTTAAAGTATGCGCAGTAAGTACGAAAAATAAGTTTAAATATGTCAAATTTTTAAAAACCCATATTAATATGTGTACCTATGTACATAAATATACATATGTTTTTCATCTGATGTCAGTTACAATTTAACACCGATACTTGTACCACAATGCCGTCGAACCAACCGCAATTCCGCAAGTTTAAGGATCATTTGTTTAAAGTAAGTTAATTACTAATGATTATTATTGATTACTTTTATTTCTTAACTTTGAGCTTATTTCAAAAGAGGCTCAAGCGCTTGCAGACGAGGAAACCGCCACCAAATTTAAATAGAAGCTATTCAGCGAAGCTTGCCAACTCCATCAAACGTCGTGCACTTAATATACAAGCCAAGGCCACACCTACTTCATGCAGAGCCAAAAGAAATTTGCGACTTCAATATGCCAGGCAATATGCAAAGCAGCAGCAAGAACGAAATCAGCAACGTCAGTCGCAACGCCAAAATCAGCACCAACAGTCATTGCCAAAACCAAAGTCTTATGCCACGATTCAGGTAAGTAGATATAGACAATACCTTGCCAAACACCATTTACTATTTAGAATATTGCAGCGGGCAGCTGGGTCCAACAGTTTGTTAAAGAAGAAAACAGAAGAGGGCGAGATTATTGAAGAGATTGAGAGTAGCGATGATGATGATTGTATTGTGTTGGAACCGGATATGGCTAAAATCACTATAGATACAGATGATGACGCAGACGACGAGTCACCGAAGGAACCAATTAGCACCAAAATGGATGGAGACATTGGTACAGTTAGTCGTTTTGAAGTGGATAAAAAGCGGGAGCATAAATTATGGGAAAATTTTGCGAGGGGGACCAACTACAATAGCGTTGACTATGCCACAAATACTGCGAATCCATTATCAACGAATGATACTTCTTGCATAATCATTGATGACAGCATTGTTATTGATCAGTCCAACAAAGAAGATGGTAAAAATCTCGTTTCACAGCATTTATTAGATGATAGTGTGATATTTATACAAGAAGACTTTATACCCTTATCGAGGGTCAATGGTGATGATTTAAGTCCAAAGCGAAGACGTCATATGAACTCTACAGAAGATGGATTAAGAGCTGCTAAGACGCCAAGAAAGACTACACAACGGATGAACGAAAGCTTATTTACCTCAACGGAACGCAAGAAACTCGCCGATTATAATAGTAATACATATAATCCAGGTGTAGAGGAAAATGTGCCAATAACTCACAAACGTCCCATTATCATAGATGGCAGCAATGTGGCCTTTGGGTGAGCGTTCTTTACTCCGAATTTTTTCGAATCTAATCTAATTTTATTCTGTTGTCGTTTTGCATTCACAGTCATGGTCGCTCCAATGTATTCTCTTCGGAAGGCATAAAATATTGTATAGAGTATTTTCAGAAGATGGGACACGATGTAAAAGCTGTCATTCCATTGTTTCGACGCAACGCGAACAAATCATCGAATCCGGCCCTGCTCGATCAATTGTATAAGGATGGAAACATTGTATTTACACCCTGTAAAAATTTACCTAATCAACAGGCCATCAGCTACGATGATCGGTAAATATTGAAGGAGCTATTTTTATTATATATTGTCTCTCAACAATTTTCTTTTCAGTTTTATACTTCAGTTAGCTTACGAGCGCAATGCGGCAGTTGTGTCCAATGATAATTATCGTGATCTCATCAATGAGAATGCTGCTTTTAAGAAGATCATTGAGAATCGTGTAATTGGATATTCGTGGTGCGATAATATACTAATATTACCCAAGGATCCCTATGGAAGATTTGGGCCACCTTTGGCTGAAATCTTACGTTGTTAGCGTTAATAGTTTATTTTTTTATTTTTTATTTTTTTTCTTTTTCGTTAAAATTAATAAAGTGTAATTTGTATTGAAGTTAAATATATAATAGTTGTAAGATTATAGAAATACACTTGAAATGCTGTTTTTATATTTAGATTCTGGGCATAACAGAAACAACTGTCGTTGTGGATATAGTTGTAGTGGTTGTCGGAGCATCGACAGTCTCTATGGTTCCTTGATAATCTGGTGGCGGCTCATTTAAAGCTGTTATTGCCAGATTTGGATTACTGCATCCCAAGTCCGTTGTGATGGTCAGAGTGGAGGCGCCTAAGTTACCATCCTTGTTACAGATGTTGACCTCATCGTAGCTGGGCGGTAGATCCATGCCCTTCGGCAATATGGTCATGTCGTTGTTGTCCACTTCAAGGCAAACGCTGCCATTGCCCATGTTTGTATTGTTGTTGTTGACGCTTATTTCCATTTCACGTCGTGCTGAGAAATTTAATACGAAAATATTTAAATATACATAAATTGCTGTTTACAAATATTGATATATACATAAATATCTCTTATCAGCATAATTACAAATAGTTTTAGTTATATATCTTATCTCTTTTTTGCGCTAAATTCAAATTGTGATTTATCGGCTTGTCTTCACTTATCGATAACAGCGGTTTCACACTTTTGTCACTCTAAGCTGTTGCACTGCATACGCGCCTCGAACAGCTGACAGCTCAGTTCAGTAGCGCGCAGCTGAGCAAGCAGCAGCAGATTTGAAGCTGCTTCTCTTTTCTTTTATTAATATTTGTGTGTAAGTCTTAACAACAGTCACTAGTAAACAAGCACATGTATTGCAACTAAGATATTTTTAGGCGCGCACAAACATCGTAAGTGAAACGCTTTGACTAAGAAGTTTGGCAGAAAACTTCGATTAGTCATTTATGTAATAGTCAAATAATACAATTGCTGACGTTGTTTAGCCAATACAAGGTGAAAGTTTTTGGATGGCAAAATATGTAAATAGTGACTCAATGCAGCTGCAACAGGTTTTTGGGTTAAACGCCTATAGCAAATTAATTATTGAAATTTATATTAACAAAGTGTAAAGTGTTTGATAAATGATTTTCTTGCGTTGTCTTGTGTGTTGCCAATTTTTTTTGGCAGCTCAATTATGAGTGAAAGTTTACAACTATGGGTCAAAGACTCGGTGTTAAGTGTCTGAAGTCGTCCAATGCTCTACATTTTATCAAGTTGAATATTGCTTGAACGCAGAAAAAACAATTTAAAGGCTATCAAAGTTCAAGCACATTTGAATGCTGACTTTTTAAACTGTCCCTCAGTCCAAAGGTTTTTTGTTTTGAACTAGTTCTTCGGAGTAGAAGGCTGTCAGAGAATAGGAATGATAAACTACTCATATAACGGTTCATTGCGCGCAGCGCCGAGCTGACAGATTAGAATATAATTAATGTGAAAAGAGCTAAGTTAAATCTTTGCTGAGCTAGTTCCTTTGTGGTTGAACAGTTGACACTGAAACGGAATGACAACCTGTTGACTTAACGGTTCATTGAACACAGCTCGCGCTGGCGAAGAATATTTAAAATAAACCTTAAATAATTCTTTTTTATCTTTGCAGCTTCAACAGTGCTTCACACCTGTCTTAGATGCTACGACGCGTGCTGGGCTTTGGCGCCCTTGGCGCTGGCCTCGTTAGCACTGGCCTGAGCCTCCATACAAATGACTATGAACTGAATTCACTCGGAATTGTACGTTTGACGCGTTCAGCTTGCGCTGTGGTCGATGTGGCGCTCACCTACAAGCGGGAGCTTTATTATAAGGAGTGGGACAAGACGACGCCGGAATACAAAGCAGAAAAGAGTCGTGTACATAAAATCGCCGCTGAGAAGCTACTCGAGCTCATCTGCACAAATAAGGGTGTATATATCAAAGTGGGTCAGCATATTGGCGCACTGGAATATCTGCTGCCCAAGGAGTTTGTGCAGACAATGAAAGTCCTTCATTCGGATGCGCCACAGAATCCTATCGAGGACTTATATAAGGTCATACGACAGGATTTGAAACGTAATCCCGAGGATCTATTCGATAGTTTCGAACGTGAGCCGTTGGGCACTGCGTCACTGGCACAGGTGCACAAAGCACGACTGAAGACAGGTGAAACTGTGGCTGTTAAGGTGCAGCATCCATATGTCAAAGGCAACTCGCGCGTGGACATGAAAACCATGGAATTAGCTGTCAAAGTGCTAGCGCGCATATTTCCCGACTTCAAGATACAATGGCTAGTCGAGGAGTCCAAAAAGGTAATGCGTCTACTAAAGGGAGATTATAGACCTCTTACATACAATTTGTCGCTTCCAGAATCTGCCCATTGAGCTGGACTTCCTGAACGAAGGCAAAAATGCGGAAAAGGTAGCCGAGCACTTCAAGAAATATAGTTGGCTGCGTGTGCCTAAAATATATTGGGAGCTGAGCACATCGCGTGTGCTTGTCATGGAATATCTGGAGGGCGGACATGTTACGGATTTGGATTACATTAGGCAACATAAAATAGATGCATTTGAGGTGGCTAACAGGATCGGACAACTTTACTCAGAGATGATCTTCTCCACGGGCTTTGTGCACAGTGATCCACATCCGGGCAACATACTCGTACGACAGACGCCCAAAAACAATTTGGAAATAGTTTTGCTGGATCATGGACTCTATGCGAATCTTACTGATAAATTTCGCTATGAATACTCAAAGCTTTGGCTGAGCATATTGAACGTTGATCGCAAATCAATGCGACAGCACAGCGAGCAGTTAGGCATCAAAGGCGATCTGTATGGCCTGTTTGTTTGCATGGTGACTGGTCGACCATGGGATACGCTAATGCAGGGCATTAACAAAGTCAAATATTCCAAAGAAGAGGTGAAATACTCAACAAGCTCAAGATTCTTGTAGAAAATTTGTCTTACTTATTCTCTTCTTCTCCATTTTGCAGAAGAATACGCTGCAGAGCAATACGTCGCTTGTATTGCCCCACATTTCGGATGTGCTCGAGCAAGTGGATCGCCAAATGCTGCTCATATTGAAGACTAACGATTTAATACGTGGCATTGAGTCAACGTTGCGTACACAGAATCGCATGACCGCCTTTTGGGTGATGTCCAAGTGCTGTGTGCAATCCTCCTACGCGGAGCAGCGGGCCCAGCAGCCGGAGGCAGCGAAACGTTGGCATTTGAGGCTGCGCGAGCGCTGGGATCTATTCAAACTGAATGTCTATTACCTCTATTTGGGTTTAATTAATTTTGGATTTTTTGCGGCGCTCAAGCAGGTGCTTTAGCATGGATAGCACTTGAATTGAAGTACAAATTAAAATGGGATGAAAGTAAACAAAAATCAATTACCTCGTTGTGTCTGCAGGACCAATCTGCGTGCATTCTCCTGCCGCTTGCGTTGCAGGGAACTCTAATTTTGTGGTTGTTTGAAGAGTTAAATTAGCTAATTTAGCATATATATTAGATTTAAGTATTTTGTTACCATTATAACCACAAGTGGCATCAGTATGACGAAGAGAAAAAGTAACACTACGTAGAATGCATAGCCCGAATAGAAATACACCGGTTGCGGATCGTAATAGGGATAGTTTCCTGAATCGCCATTATAATACGGTAGCAAAGTGCTGGTGCTAATATTTGAGCTAATCGGCCAGATTGTGATGGGGGCTGCCGTTGTTATGGCTGCGGTTGCTGCCGCTGCTGTTTTTGCCGTTGCAGGTGCCATTCAAAAATATAGTTTCTACTCGTTGTGTCCGCTCAAATTGAACTGAAGCCCCCAAAATTGATGGGCGACCGACCACTCATCCATGGGTCAGGCTCATGGTGCACATATTTGCTTTGTAATCATTAGCTGATAAGGTTGACAAAAAAAAAAAACCAGTGCCTAGGCCAGGGGCTTAAGTTTGGTGAGCCGTTCGCCAGCCCCCGTGCCGCCTCCAGCAAGGCATAGCTTTATCTAATGAGGCGCTATGATAAATGTGTGCATATGACACACTAGCTGTGTGAACGTGTATCTTTCTATATTTATATATACAGATATATATATATATTTAAGATATATATGTAAGATATCTTTATATGTGTGTTATTGTCTGTTTATATGATTTATAGCAAGTTTTCTATTGTCAAGACGTTCCCTGTTTGGTTTTTTTTTTTGGGAGGTGTAATGTTAGCTTTAGGTATGGACTTTCGTTTATGAGAAACAGGCACGCCACGATATGGATTCATGTTTGAGTTTAATTAAAGAACTTGTAGCTATTAGCTTAATTGTAGAATAAATATGAATAAAGCCATCATTTTTTATATTGTGTATGTCAAGATGTTTTTGGCATATATTACTTCTTATATAGGGCTTGAATGTTGTTCAAACTAAAAATTTAATTATTTGGTTTATTAGGCGGCTGAATCTAACGAGGTAAATAATTAACGTGACTACTATAAGCATCGACTACATAACTTTTGTATAACTTATGAAATATGTAATAAGTAAATTTAACAATTTAATTATTTAAGTAAATTTTTGGTTTTTTAATTAAATTTACTTATTTAATTTTTAATTAATTACTTACACTTAAATAAATAAATTAATTACTTACACTTAAAAGAATTTAATTACTTATAATTATTGCCATTATTTGGACTTACTTTAAATATGTCTAATTACTTGTGTTGTAATTACGATTTGAGTGTAAGTCCTAGAGTATTATTTTATGGCATTAGCTATAATTACTAAAGTAATTAAGCAATTCATTTTGACTACTTAAATATTTGAGCTATTAATTATAAATAACAAAGTTATTGGGCTAAGCTTAATTACTTATGTAATTAAAGTCGTAATGTTTAATTACTTAAGTAATTAAAATTGTAATGCTTAATTACTTGAGTAATTAAAGTCGTACATAAGTAATTAGACTATTCATTTATGTAGTCATGCATAGTCATTCATTCATAGTCCCTTCCGCTGTTACTAAAAATTTCTTAAGTCACGAACACGAAATCACGATTTATGCCCATCTCTAACGACGTTGTCGATGGAATAAGAAACTAGTGCAAATATTTGCGATTATGTTTGCTTACCTTCGTCGACTTGCGACATTTCCTTCAATTGTTTGAGCATATAAAACCGATAGGCAATCATAATCGACTGCAATTGCAATGTCAAATATAATATTAACAATTAACAGTAATAATAGTAATAATAATAGTAATAGGAGCTCAGTTACTTACGCGTATGATGAAGAGGCAGAAGCATACGATGGCCAAGAGAATCAGCAGACCCGATGAATCCATTTGGAGTGCACTTTACTAATTTTAAACAAATGTTTTACGTATCTAAATTTCGATTGTTTCACAGATTTGCAGTAGCTTGATGATTCACAGTAAGCTCTGGCGCATGTTCCACGATAAGATATGAATATGGATACATATATAGAGGTATATATATAGGTTTATATATGTTTATTTGCGTTGAATTTGATTACATTTTAATCAGTATTTCAAGAATTATTTAGCTACCCAAATCGATTCGCGAGCTAGCTCTCTCTTTCACTATCTCTACCTTTCTCACTCTTTAATTGCGTGGGCGCTCGCCTAATTATGTGAGGACAACTCGATTTGGCTTGCGGATTGCGAATGGATTTAGCTGGCTGTTGCGTGCTAATAAAAATAATTAATATTATTAAGCTTTTTCATGCGCTGCCAACGGGTATTTTCGCTGCTATCAACCATCTAGATAACAGCATATTTAAAGAAGAAATATATATAAATGTAGATCCCTGTTTTTCTGCTTTTCTTGTTACAACTTTTTTGTTATTTAATATATCGACATTAAATTTGGTATACGTCAGATTTAGAGTGTTTGTTATATATGATACAATTTTTAGCCAAATCGTTTGTCTATATCATATAGCTGTAAAGGAAAAATCGGTTGCTTAATGACTTTTTTGTTTCGTTTTCTTGGTGCACATTTTACAATCTTTTACTGAGTAGCAGCATCTTAACAAGTTGACATAGATCAGCTGAATATATCATAGACTTCTAAGTCTAGGAATCGAATCTGATTTGAAATTTCAATACTTTTCAAGATATTTAAGAATATGTTTTTATCTATATTGTCCATACATCTTCCTCTAGGCAAATGATTTGTCGTTGAAACATGTTTCTGACAGCAAATTGTAGTCGACTCATTGTAAGTGCAATGTTTGTTAGGCCCCTCACTGAGCTGTTAAGTTACATATCATTTGCACTTCGGAACTATATAGTATAGGTACTATCAGCCGTCATATAAGTATTGGAACTTAATGCACTTGTAAGACGACATAAACTGCCACAGAAGTTATTTTTCTATAATTATTAGTTTGTTATTCTTCTTCTTGCCTTGTTTCTTAGCTAGGGTATTTCGTAGTTCGTTCATCCCCTACTCACTTTAATTCTTCTTCTTCTTCATGGCATTGCCTTATCTCGGTTTTTGCTCTGGCGGCCTTCTCTTCACTTCAATAAGCAGATTGCATTCCGCTTTTTGCCTGTTTATGGCTTTTTGGGTTATCGCTGTGCAAAGCCGCCAACAGGCGAGACGTGCTGTCTGTTTGGCCACGCCTACCAGCCCTCCCGCCGCCCACACTTGTATAGCAAATTGCGTAGACGTAGCAGCCAGCAGCCAGCAGCTAGCAGTTGCAGTCGTTAACCGTTAATTAAAGTGAATGGCCGCTCTGGCTTTTTGGCTGCGATGCACCTTGACCTGGCCCAAAGCAATCAACACACACACATAGACACACACCCACCTACACACTGACTCGCATATGATTATCGCTCTTTTGTGCATTGCGCTGGCTGATATTTTCGCCGTGTTGCTGCTCATTTGCATAAAGCCGCGGTTCGAACATAAATTATGGCAGGTGCGAACGTGCACCTGGGCGTACGAAAAAAAATCCTTAAGCTGTTGTTGCCGTTTCTTTTTTCTTATTATTGCATTATGCAGCATGTGTGTTGCTGTTGGCTGGCCTTCAACGTGTTTGTTCTCTTCGGGCTTTTGCTTTTCCACTTTGTGTCTAGCAAATCGCTTTAGACTTTCGGAAAAAGGGGAAAAAATTAAAATAAAAAACGTTTACTTTAAAATAAGAATAAATTCCTTAATTTTATTGTATCTCTTATTCAAAAGCAAAGTCTGATTTCATTTTTACCTAAAAGAGCATAGAGAACATATCTCCATCTTTAACTCTATCTCTGTTTCCATCTCTAATCATCTCTATCATCATATTGAGCATAAACCTGATATCATTTGGTAAGCCAAATGAAAATAGCTAATACCTATCTTAGATTATATATAACTTTTCATTTTATGTAGAACTACTGTTTGTATAGATTGTTGAAGAAGGTTTCCATATTTTTTCATTAAATATTTACACTTACCATATTGGGTCTTAAATATATATTTAAATATCGAGTGAGTGGCACCATAATCATTAATTATAATTTTTTATAGCTTTTTTCGTATAATATTTTAAAAAATTATTTTAAAATCATATTTTATATTCATTATTTATACATTCTTTTTTATTTATATTTTCATATGTTTATGAAAAATGTTTATGTTTTTGTTTTAATTTATATATGTTTATAATGTTTATAAAAATGTTTGTTTTTTTTTTTTAAATTTGTTTTAAATAAAACTCAGTTTTCATTGATTTTCCAAACATATATATATATATTTCGATTTAAAATCAATAAAACAAATAATGGAAAAAGCACCAGACACGAAAAAGTTTTTAGTATTTTTCATTTTTCATACAACAATTTGAATTACTCACATTAAGTATATGGTTTATATATAGTGTATATATATATGACTAACATCAATTTCATTTATTTATCAGTTAATATTTTTTTATTATAGTACATTCTAGATTTCTAAATTTATGGTTTTTAAGACTTGGCACAGTATTTGGAAATAAACAAATAAAAGAGAATTTAATTAAGGAATATATTATATCTTGCATCGATTTCTATTTGATTTCAATTCTCTTCTATATGTATATATATTTATTTAAAATTTTCTTTGTAATAAATAAAGCTTTGCTCTTCGCCTGTAAATAAAAAAATCACACACACACAACGTGAATGTGTGTGTGTGTATTTGTTTACTATTTGCGTGCATTTAACATGCCTCAATTCAATTGAAATTTAATTAGCTGACATTTTTATTTACGTTCTGTCTCTATATGTATGCATGTATGTATATATATATATTTATATATATATATATATAAATATTTATTTCCCATTGATTTATCGCTCGTCTAACTGCAAAAGAGAAATTGTAAAAAAAATGATATTATTTGTTTACTTAATTGTAGCGTAGCACAAATATCGTGCATATTATATAAATATTGTGTTTCAACGGTTTTTTTTAGCAAAAAATAGATAAGTTTACATTTAAATGCGTGCGAGAGGAACATAAACACAAGGGAAATGAAAATGAGAGGTATTTCTTATCAAATAATTTCCTTTAAAAGTATTTCCCCTATTTATGGTCTATCACAGATTAAAGCGCAAATATCCTAGCATGTTTTAATGCACCGCCTGAAAGTATGATATCAAAATTGTTAAATTCTGCGTGCTGCTCGCATTGTTTCCGAATTTTGTGGAGCATTTTAAAAATATTTATAAAATTATATGAATATTTTTTGTTTGCATGATGGCAAACAGCATAGCATAAATATGATATGTATTGTGTAAATTTGCTTTTGTATTGTTTTACAGACATAAAAAAAATGCATGGTCAACGGTTTTTTGTATGTGAGTGGCAGGCGTAGATAGTGCGAGTGCGAGTGAGAGAAAGCTGTTTCCATATAAATTGCCTTTTCATTTTTTCGCATAAGCAGAGCATATTTTAGCTCTAAGCCTAAAAGCATGCTATATAAAATTGAAAATTCCCTTTGATTTCGCATGGTTTGTGCATATTATGTGACATTTTAATGAATTTAAATGCGAATGTTGTTGTCTTGTTAATAGTTGCGTGCTGTTGTCGTTGTTGTTCCTAAGCCAACATTGTTAACTAAAATGTCAAACATATAAGACCTTAATCAAATATGCACGCACACACGCACACACTCACATAGTTTGTAAGGTAAAGTGTAGAGCAAATTGTGAAAGAAACACAAGACACAAATCAATTTGCATGAGGATTGAAACTTTGTAACTTGCCGCAGCCAAAACTTTGTTTAGTGTGTCTATGTGTGCTTGTGTGTCTAGCAATGTCTTAAATTTGAAATTCAAATTTATGAAATTGCAGCAGTTGAGGAGCACACACTCACATACAAACTAATATATGTATGGGCATACCTCTCACGCACACACACACATGCTAATATATGTATGGGCATTTCTCTCTTCAGCTCTACCCGCTCTTTCCCCCTCACAAACACACGCACAAATTTGTGGCTGATGCCTTTACAATTAGATGGCATAGCATACTTTTTCGGGCGCCCTCCACACACACACACACACACGTCATAAAAACCTTTTTATGTGGTGCAAATTTTATGAATAGTCTGGCAACTCCAGCTACGCCCCCAGCCCCTTTTTGACTTTGTGTCCATTTGCCTGTTGTAAGTCGTTCAGCTGGAATCAAGTTGTTGGCACAATTAGTGTGGGCGTGGCTGTGGCTGCTGCTTGCTGTCGGTTGTCAGTTGTCTGCCGCCTGCATGGGCCTTGTTGTTGGGGCGTGTGGGCGTGTCTGCTGCGGCTTTCATTATCGGGTACGTGCCTCATTTTGTCCATGAATAAAGTTAAGTAAAATTAATTGCGTAGCCGCTGGCGCCAAAAGTGTGCGAATTGTTGCCGCTTTTGTTTGCTTACTTTTTTGATAACAACAACACCAACAGCAACAGCAGCAATTACAACAACAATTATCTGAACAACAACAGCAGCAGTAGCAGCAACTCGAGCAAAGTTTTTTGAATAATTTCATTAATGTATTTGGTAAAAATTTGTTGGCGCGTGAGATATTTGCACGTAATTTTCATACACACACACATACATATACAGCATCTGCTTATTATAAATTATAATTAGCTCAGCAAAAATATGAACAAAAAAAATTAATTTTGTTTATTTTGGACGCCAAAACAAACAAAACCAAAGGCAGCGCCACATTTGAGGGTTTTAAGCGGAGCTTAATAGAGTTATAATTTTAAGAAAATTTCTTAGCTATGTTAATGAAAACAATCAAAATATTTCAAAATTTTGTTTGTAATTACCCCAAAACAATGCGCCTATATAATGCGCTGAATTCCCAAAGATCCTTAAATTCAGCCTATAAACAATATTCTATGATATTCAGCTAATTTCCATGGTATTCAGCGAATTTGCAATTTACCAATTCAGTTATTTTCAGTAATATTTAGCAAGTTGCTATAGGCTGTCAGCTACGTATTATATTTTCATTAGTTAACAATTCATGGAATTTTGATAATATTTAAATTTAAATAAAATTCAGCAAATTAATATATTCAGCAGATTTCTCTATTGTTAAATAATTTAGCACATTTGTATTTATTACAATAATTTTACAATAATATTCAGCAAATTTTTATTCATTCAGTGCAGAAAATATATAAAATTTAGAATTCAGTAATTTATCATGAATTCAGCAACTTTGTATGTCATTCAGCTGATTTTGCAACTATTCAGCACTTACTTAGAATGCTGTAGAACATTTTCAAATTCATATTCAGTAATTCCGTTTTCACTTTTTACAGGGCATCACATAGCCGTCCGTTACAAGCCTTTGCTTACGTTGTTTATCAGCCAACATTTTTAATTATACTTTTAGGATATTGGCAAAAAGTTTGCACTCCAAGCAGATTGGACAAACAAAAGACAAAAACAAAAACAAAAAATAATAATGGTCAAGCGGTCGAGTTATAGCCAAAAGACCCGAAAAACAACAGCAAAAATAAAATGTAAAAAAAAAAACAGGTCAACAAAAATGTTGTACAATAAACTTTAATGAATTACAATTTGGCAGCGGAGCAGGAGGGCTTGGGCCTGCAAATCCTTGAGCAAACAGCAAAAAAACCAAAATGTAAAAGGAAATGAAAATATGTCGACGGAAATGAGCATTGACGCCATTGCTGCTGCTGCTGCTGCTGCTGGTGCTGCTACCCGGCGTATTGGGCATTTGAGCTTTAGAGACTTCCAATTGGAATTACCCAAGTGTGCGTGTGTGTGTGTGTTGGTCAAGTCAAGTTGCCTTGGCGCTGATTTCGCTCCAATAAGACGAGTGGGGCATTAAGTTGCCGTTTCATCATTGTCAACAGTCGCAGTCGCAAACAATAAATATTGTAAACAATTTGTTGTGCCTGATGCTTAATGCCATCTTCGTAGCCCCGACCCTGCACCCCTCTTGCTGCCCCTCTCTCACTGTTTTGAAATACCAGGGCAAATATTTGTACACGCCCAAAGAGGAAATAAGGTTCCAATGCGAAATCCGCAAAACCCTTCGGGCCCATAAATTATCATCATCAGCAAATGGCTGTGGCTGTGGCTGTAGCTCTTGGCACTGCCTCTACTCGCTGCGTTTACAATTTCCAATTGCCGCATACTGTTGCAAAGTTCCACTCACACACACATACACAGCCCGCCCACTTCCTTCCCGTTTGCCATGTGCACGTGGCCAATGTGGCATTAATTAAATCAAGCATCATTAAGCGACTGTGGCAGCAGACACCGCGTGGGCGTGGCTGTGGTCCTTGAGTGCATTTGGATTTGCCGCCAAGTGGCGCACAGTGCGCAAACGATGATTAATTTTACACTAAGTATCCCATAACCTATCGATATAAGCATTAAATATATGCCATAGTTTCCAAGTCTAGCTTGCCATCTCACTCGCACAGCCTGATCGAGCTTAACCCGCTGAATTGCACTGAGTGTCATTTACCTATCGATACTTATGCTCAGTACTTGCATTTACTCAGACGCTTCTCTTAGTCTTTTTTCTCTTCTCGCTCGCACACACGATCTCGATCCAGCGTGCTTATCCTGTTATTTGTGTATTCTTTACTTTGTATTCTTGCAGCAACGCGTTGTGTGTAAATAGACAGAAAATGCCGCGTATCTCAAATTGAAAGTGTAATTTATTTTTTTTATGGTGTGGTTTTATTTTTTGCGACCACAGTGCAACCGTGTGTAATTGAAAATTGCAAACCTCGACGCTGCTTGTTACGTAAAATTTCATTTGTTTAAGTGTAATTTTATAGCATTGCCTGTTGTTGTTTATAGCGTAGTGTCTATTAAAGTGTGTGTTAAGTGCTCAATTGGACTCGAAAAGCAACGCCGACATCATTACTCATCTAGTCTAAGGCTGTTTGAAAGGCGTACAAGAAAGTAGGTAATATACATATATATAAAGTAATTTCTAATCATTAAATGATTGAAAATATACGAACATACACACTTACAAACAAACATACACGTACATAATTATGATGATTAATGAGTTTGCTCATAAATGGCTTGGAGAGCGAAGGGAAATTTAATTTGTAGTTATGTCTCTGATAGACTAGTGCTTTTTCCTCTCGCCAAATTAATTAGTATGAATATACATACGTACACATGCTTGATCTTTAGCATGCTCATAAATGTCTAAAAGAGACAGAGACGAGAAGGAAATTTGGGAATTTCTTTCGGGACATTTTGTTTAAGCATGCATAAATTAAATGCAAGTGCATTCTTTCCTTTTTTTTTTTTTTTTTTTTTTTCGTTTTTATTTCTTTATTTTGTTGCAGCTTATTGTCTTAGACTCTATAGCGCATTTAGCTCTAAACCTTAACTAATGGGAGGGCAGATATGCCAATTATTCTGCACTTGTAGCTACTATCTTAATTAGTTCTAATATTGTCTAGAGGATGCAATCTCTTCAGTCTTCGCCTATTGTTGTTTATAGCCAGGTTGCTTGCGAGATGGTTAGGATGCGCTGCAAGTCTGTCCGCGTATCTTGAACTGTGTCGCCCAATGAGTTCAGCAACTGTGGGAATTGCTAAATCCCTATGTAAGACTGAGTTTCTTACAAACCAGCTGGCTCCAGTCCATCTGCGTAGTGCTTTATTCTGCAGGGTCTGAATTTTGTTCCTTGTAGTCTTCGCCGAGGAGCCCCATAGAGAGATACCATATACGAAGGTTGGGACAACTATTGCCTTGTAGATGGCGGCCTTGCTGCTGTAAGACAACTTGCTTGAAGCTCTCAGCATCCAGTCGAGGGTTTTTAGCTTGCTTTTGCATTTTGAGGTTACTTGACTTAT